AAAATGCCTCTCCCGGCAGTCGAGGGTGGCCTGTGCGGTGGTTGAGCCCCGTTCACTCATACCAAACTCCCACCCCATCTCTACCCTGCATTCTGCGCGTTTGGTAGTTTATGCAAACAGGAAACGTCCCGTTCCGGAGCTATCTCCGCCTGGGTTCAAACGACCTGTAGCCTTCAGGCCATGCAAAAGAGCCGGGGAGGTGGTGGAAGAGCCGTGACGAGGCCAGGGAGCGGAACAGCTCATCCCGATCCATTTGCAAAAAGGCACAATTAGCAGAGAGGCAAATTCTGCATTTAGCATTTTCAAAACAAAAATCTCTTCTCTGGACAGGTGCTGCTTCCAGAGAGGAACCTGCCTCCCCTGGTGCCCTCCTGCCCCAGATAGAGGCGGGAAGATGGGTATTCACCACAGAGAGAGGGACCCCAGTGTATCTAAACCTTCCATCTCCTCCATGCGTGCATGGAACCTGCAGGATGATTCCGCTCGGCTCTTGTCTCCTTCCCCTGCCCAGCAGTGGCCCCATCTTACTCCTGAACACTTCACACTCCCACCCACCCACTGCACTGAGACTCATCTCCCTTGGCCTGAGTGCCAAGCTAGAAGGCCTCATCTCCTTTCCCAGCAAGCCAGGATCTTCACGTGCTCAGCTCACCTCTTCCTCGCCAGCCAGCCCCGCATCAGAGCACAATGCCTGTCACCGGGGGCCTGACCTGAGAACCTCCTATCCAGCCTTCAGGAGCTGGCCTTTCCTTAATGGGATTCACGCCTTAGCACCTACCAGGACCCAAATGGTTAATTGAAATATTCGGGCAGACAGGACCAGGTGTACAACTGAGACATGCTTATTGGGTTCTAATGCAAAGCCACCAGATCACAGCACTGTCAGTTGGTTGATTTCACCACGTACAAGGTGCCTGATGTCAAGTTCCCAGACCACAATGTTATGTAAGAACAGCCCACTGGCACAATCCCTGACCACTCACCCCCGCCCCTTGACCCCCATCAAAGGAGACTGCCCCACCCAGCGGTCTGGGTAATTAGAGGCCTGCCCAGGCTTCCTGCAGTAACACTCCTTGAATTTGCTTGGAGATATGTCGGGATCGTCTTCATTTTTCTTTCTCCTCATTCTCCCCACATCCCAGTGAGCAACTCTAGGTGCAACCCCAGGTCTCACTGCGACTCCCCCTCCATGGTGCCAGGGACTTTCTGAGACGTTGCTGCTGTGTGTCAGTGGCAGCCTGTTTTCCCTGCCACCCCATTGGAGGCAATGGAGCTGCACGGGGGGGTCACAGAAAGTGGAATTTATAGGCAACAGGACAGTATCTGAAGGTACAAGTTGACCAGCAAACTCTTTAGTACTGGTGATGATGCACAAGATGGAAAGACCCCAACTTGGCTCTCAGAGCCCTGGGGTACGTGACTCTACAAGCATCTGAGTGCAGGAGGGCTAGCAGCTCCCTGGTATCTGGCAGTGAGTTTCAGCTGGCCAGTGTACACCGACTCATTAACGTCAGACTGTATCTGATATGGGTCACGTATGGTTTCATTGGCAAACTACCACCATGTTGATCATTAATATTCTTGCGTGGCGTGTGTACGGGACCTGCCCAAGAGACCATACAAATATTAAGAAAATGTGATACTCAAATGTGTTTACTAGACAAAGGACAGGCCATCGCCTCCAAAGTCAACTAGCAATCACATGTCCAGTGGCCATTCATTTGCATTTTAGCAAACACCAGCCAGGGAAGAAACCCGCCTGGAATTTCCTTCACCAGCAGACTCCATGTCTCCTTTCTCATGGCCTAAATGAACTTTTCTTTGGGGGGAACCTTGAGAGGAATGTGTGACAGGTTCCCCCTAGGGTGCCACTCAGCTCGCCTGATCCACCAGCCTGGGTTCTCTTTACACTGTGCTGTTGTGACAGGCTCTCAAGCCCCCTTCCAGCACACACACAGGTAGGGACACACCCAGCTGCAATTTCACACAGAGGCGTAGATCAGCTCGGCATGGGAAGGCTCAGTTAGGGAACTGCCCAGCACTCATGCACACACCCCTCTGGAGTGTAAACCCAAAATTGTATCGTCTTGCACTGCACAGAGAACTATGCAGTGTAAGCTCATAAAATTCACTCCCTCAGTGTGGAGGAAGATATGCACAGCTTTTTGCCCCCCAGTTATGAATTCCACAAACTGGTTTTAGAGAAAACAAAAACAAGTTTATTAACTAGAAAAGATAGATTTGAAGTGATTATAAGGGATAGCAAACTGATCAAAGCAGATTACTCAGCAAATAAAGCAAAAACGCAATCTAAGCTTAAGATACTACAGAAACGGGTTACAGGTAGTAATTTCTCACTCTAAATGTTGTTTTAGGCAGATTGCAGAGGTTCTTGAAGGCTAGCTGCTCTTGCTTGCAGCTTAAACTCCAGGTATTTCTTTCACAGGCCAGACACCTTCCCAGCCTGGGCTCAGTCCTTCTCCCCCCCCTCTTGGTCTTTGTTTAGATGTTCACAACAGTCATCCTGGGTGGGGATTTAGTGAAGAACAAACCCTGATTATGTCACTCCCCTGCCTTAAATAGGTTTTACATATAGCAGGAATCCTTTGTTTTCCAAGGTGGTTCCCCCTGTCCCCCAGTGGAAAATTACTGGATTCTATCATGGCATCCAGTACCAGGTGACATGATCACATGACCCTGCAGTGTCAAAGCAGCCATGAGTCCAAGGCCATTTGTAGCATCCCAGGAAGGTGGGAGATTAGCATCTTCAAAGACCTATTGTTCTCCCTAATGGTCCATTGACTTGTTCCCAGCTAGCCAGCCAGACTGATTGCATGCTGTGTGGTGGGTGTTCCCCAGGTGCAAACACTTTTGTAGTACAGATGTATAGTCAATATTCCTACCTTTAGATACAAAATTATACATGCATACACATAGGATAATCATATTCAGTAAATCATAACCTTTCCAATGATATCTCACATGCCTTCTCTTGCATAAAACATAAGTATGCTATAATCATATTATAACAATATTTCTATGAAGAATATGGGGTGTAGTGTCACAGAATCCATTTCAAAGGTTCGTTGGATTATAAAAGAGAAGGGCAAAGAACCCCATGGTACTGTTCACCTAGAACAACAAAGGAATTGAGCACTTTGGACATGGTGGAAGGTTCTGTCCAAGGGGGTGGTCCGCCATCTTGCTGGAAGGCTTGCAATAAGACTCTGCCCTTGAACCAAGACTGTCGTTTTGTAAAGCTTTGGTCTTTAGAAAAGGTTTTGCAGTTTGATTTGCTTGTAACCGTTTCTAACTCTATCCTTTATACCTGTCCTCACTTAAAACCCTCTCTCCTTGTGCTAATACACTTGTTTTACTTTTAATCTAAATCAACCCAGTGCTGTGTTTGAACATTTAACCCCAGTTAACGTGCTAAGCTGTGCAGCTACTCTCTTTAGAGGAGCTAACGAACCTTATCGTTCCTTTGAACAATCCAGGAGAGGGCTGGACATTGCAGAGCACACGGTTTGGGGGGAAATTCAGGGCTGGGGAGCACTGGGGGAGACCGGAGTGTGGAACCCAGGATGCCAGTGATACAGTCACTTTGCAAGGTAGAGACACGTGTTAAGGAGCAAAATGGAGACCCCATTTCAGAACTGGCTCAGTTATAGTCAATATAAACAACCCCCTCGTGATTGTTCTGCAACCCAGTGAGCTTTCAGTCTGTCCCACACTCATGCGTACAATCCCCAGCCACAGAAATCAATGTTTTCTCATCAGAGCCACACAAAACACACTAGACTGCATCTGCGGAGAGCTCTTCTCTTCCACCATTGAGTGACTTTCCATTGCATCTTGCAGACTGGTTTCCACGGTTGCTTCCCCCTTTAAGCTCCCTGCCTTTGCACAACACATTTTCTCATAAGCAAAAGGCCAAATAAGTGTCTATGCCCATGAGACTGCCCCACTGCAGGTCAGACAATAAAGGGCTAACGTGTGGCAAATCATTTATGGTTTAAATGAGCTGGTGCTGTGCAGGTTGTGTTTTAACCCACGAGTGAATTTAGTGATCAGCTAGTGTCTTGCACTGGATTGTACAGCATGGATTTAATCAAACAGTGAATTGTGACCCCCCACGCCAGTGGTTCTCAACCAGGGGTATGTGTACACAGAGGTCTTCCGGGGGGTACACCAACTCATCTAGATATTTGCCTAGTTTTACAAGAGGCTACATAAAAAGCACTAGCGAAGTCAGTACAAACTAAAATTTCATACAAACAAAATAAGAAAGTCAGCTATTTTTCAGTACTAGTGTGCTGTGACACTTTTGTATTTATGTCTCATTTTGTAAACATGTAATTTTTAAGTGAGGTGAAACTTGGGGGGACGCAAGACAAATCAGACTCCTGAAAGTCTGGAAAGGTTGAGAATCACTGCAGTACACTACCAGTTCTCAACAAACGCCTCCTGTAACAAAGCGGGAACGTTCTGTAATACGTTTACGAGGCCTATATGTGCATCAGTTTCTCTCTGCACTTTGCTTTGTTAAAAGTGTTAAATCTGCTCTTGGGGGCAGCACAGGTCATGAGGTGAGGGTGTCGTCTGGCTGTCTGGGCCGCAGGGAGCAGGGTGGTTAAGGAACCTGCTGAAAGCAACCCATATCGATGCAAAACCCCAGTGAGACAATGGAAAAACCCCAATGACCAAACATTGACACCTAAGGGCACGTCTTCACTACCCGCCGAATCGGCGGGTAGCGATCGATCTATCAGGGATTGATTTATCACGTCTAGTGTAGACGTGATAAAATCGATCCCCGATCGCTCTGCCGTTGACTCCGGAACTCCACTGCAGTGAGAGGCGGAAGCGGAGTTGATGGGGGAGCGGCAGCGGTTGACTCGCCGCCGTCCTCACAGCCAGGTAAGTCGACCTAAAATACGCAACTTCAGCTACGCTATTCGCGTAGCTGAAGTTGCGTTTCTTAGGTCGACCCCCCCCCGCCCAATAGTGTAGACCTAGCCTAAGAAACAACCAGGAAGGAGGTTCTCCGCCCACCCCCCAGCAGGGAAGCTGAGCAAAGACCACAGCTCAAGAACAAAGGACTGAGAAGTGACCAGCAGAGGATAAAGGGTGGGTTTCCGGAGGATACTGCTCCTTCCTGGGACTGACTAAGGAGATCAGAGAGACAGAGCCTGAAATAGAACTCGCTACAGCTTGGCTGGTGACTTGTGCTGGCTCGGCCAGAATGGACAACGTTTGAACCTTTATTTCTCTGCTAACCTAAGGACTTCCCGTGCTGTGTTCCACTTGACTAATAAACCCTACTCTGTTTTGAAAAGGCTGCAAACACTGGCTGGGGTACATTAGTCCCTGAAGAGTGGGCAAATCTCTGCCAGGAGTCTATTCCAGTCGGACACACCTAATAGAGCTCACGGTGTGAAGCAGGCGCGTTGGAGCTCAAGAGCTCAGCCTAGGAGGGGGTGAAGCTGCGGGGCCTACCCTGAAATTATAGTGGGATTCCTTAGGGGTCTGCACATGGCAGGGGTTCCTCCAAGAGACTGTTTACAAGCGGGGGTGAGGGGGGTGCGTAGCACAGATCCCGTGGCTCTGTGACACCGCCCACCCCCAAGCCTTCAACTGTTTTCAGTAGCGATGGCACTGAATCAACCCCATGGATGCAAACAGCCCTGAACATTGGTGGATTTGTTATTATTTGCAACACCACCACTCATGGTCTCCAATCCAAGAAGGACCCCCACTGCGCTAGGTGCTGTACACTATGAGAGCCAACAAATCCCTGCGTCAGCACGCTGACAGTCTAACTAGGTAAGACAGACAAACAGTGAGAGAAAGGAAATACAGCTGGGAAACTGAGGCACAGAGAGATGAAGTGACTTGCCCAAAGTCACACAAGGTATGTCTATGTAGCGAGAAGAAACTTGCATCAGCAAGTCACAGAGCCTGGGGCTCCAGCCAGAGCCCAAACAGCGAGGGTAGATTAAGGCAAGAGCAAGTGAGAGACTGGTCTGAGGGACAAGCTCTGAAGGGGTTGGCTCCAAAAGTTCTCCATAGGGTCCTCCAAAATTTGTAAGCCCATTTTCCTCTCCCCCTCCCCTTGCTTTGGGGCTTGATGGATTTGTTTGGTTGGAACCAGGCTTTGCCTGAGCCCAGCCCTGCAGAGGCCTTTACACAGCAAAAAGCAGAATTACAAACAATTTGAGCAACACCCAGCATCCCCACGTTCGTTCCACCCCCCGCTTAGGCAGACATGTCCGTGGTGGCGGTGCTGGGCTCCAGTTGGATGCTCAGATTGGCTTTGCTAGCAACCTTTTGGCAGTACGCGTACGTGGGTTTTCTTGATCCACTCTGTAGTATTGTGATGGGGTCTGAATAACATAACGTAGCATCTCTGGAAAAACAGGAAGGCCAGGCCGCTGTAGGAAGACAGCAGGATAGACACGATGGCCACCATATCAACCATTCGCTCCTTTCCCGACTCCAGAGCTGGCATCACGGAGAGCCAGACAGCAAAGAAAGTCACCATCATTAAGGAGATGCCCTGGGAGTCGCTGAAAATCTTAGGCAGGGAGTGGGTTTTGATGGCAGCTGTGAGGCAGCAGAAGGCCAGGGCACAGAGATACCCGATGCTGAAGGAGAAGCCGATGCCTGTTTCGTTGAAGCACTCAATGATCAGGTAGTCTGCCTTCCTGGGGTAGGAACGCCTGACCCCAAGAGGGTCAAGGAGGAGCCACAAAAAGCAGATGATGCACTGCAGAGCGGGGAGGACACCAAGAACAATCAGATAAAGGCTGGTCTGCAGCTTTGTCGGTCTTCCCACGGGAGTGGTGAAGGCAGCCAGAATCCGGACACATTTGGCCAGGATGCTGGCAAGGCACAGTGTGAAGCTCACCCCGAAGGCCGGCCGGCGAAGTTTGCACTTCCAACCTGTTGGCTCCCCAACAAAGAGGAACACGCTGGCAAAGGAGCCCAGCAGGCTGGCCATGTGGCAGTAAAATATGGGCCCCCCGGCAGCTTTGCCGATAGGGGTGTCTATGTGCCTCACATACAATGCCGTGACAGAAGCAGTGAGGGCCATCCCCACTAGTGTTAACATGATCAGCACAATGCTGGGGGGCTCGGACCAGAACAAGTACACCACGGCCTTCTTCCAGCAGGAGACCTGGCCCCCGTGAGACCACTCATCCTGGGGACAAGACCAGCAGCTCTCCAAAGCTGGAATGCAAAATGACAAGCAGTTGAGGAGTCATGTTTTCCATGCACGACGTAGAGGACTCTTCCAGTTCATTATTACAATTACTGCCACTTATGCTCGCTCCCTGGGAGTCCTATGCCCCATCATCCTTCCAGCTAGAAGGAATTCTCTCTGCAACCTGGCAGGGTAGCTCTAGAACAAAGGCTCAGAGAGCCTCCTAGTTTTAAAAGTCTTGAAGTCCATATTTAAGCATCTAGATCAGTGGCCTGAGCTACTGAAAACTGCTGAGTCCCCAGCAACTCCCATTAATCTCAGTTGCACCAAGACAATTGTGCAGTGCAATGGGTGAAAAGCCACCTTCCAGACCCCCAGAGAGGATCAACTTGCACCCTGGAGCATGAGATCTAATCGTCTGCACCTGCCAGTGTTTAGAATGGCTGTAGAATTACCCAGCCCTTTCACAAGCTAGCCAGCTTCTCAGTATCTGGCAGGGCTCTAGGTCGCTCCTCAACTCAGGTGGGTGCCCACTGGGCCAGCAAAATAAACTCACCTGATCCGTTGCTGTATGTCCCAGGGCTGCAAACCTCACATGCATAACAGCAGTGCTGAGGCAAATCCGGGTGCAGCTTTTGCACTTCCCCTTGACCACAGCCTCGGGAGCAGTGAGAGGGCAGGATCTGCAGGTCAAACACAGACAGGGTTGTGGGCAAAGGCTACTGGGAAACAACAGAGAGGCCTAAAATCCTGTGGGGAGTTTATTGCTGTCTTGATGCTGGAGGATTTGCATCGGCAGTATCAGGAACTGCACACCCAAACCCACCAGCCCCTCTGGGGGACAGTTACCCCTTAAGCCCACCCAAGGGAGAGGTGGGACAGGTGGTTTCACTCAGAAGCATCTGCCAGACATGGGTCGGCGTCAGGAATCAGGGTGTGTGGCAGAGCCAGTCTCCGGGCAACCAGACGAGTGCAGCTGGCCTGTAGCAGGCTGCCTGATTGGTAAGAAGAGGCAGCAGACTGGTTCGTAAGTCAAGCAGCAGCAGTTTGGCAGCTGCTCAAAGCATTTGCCCCCAGCTGAGAACATCTGTGTATGCTTGTTCCCTGCCCTGCCCCAGTCCAGCTTCTGCTCCGGACCCAGCCTTGTCGCTCTCCAGGTAACCCGGCTTTGACTCCTGGATCCAGCCCTCTCCCTGCCCCAGGCCCCCTCACAGGGCTATATACCCAGACACTTGATGCTGCCCAGATGAGTCAGACAATTTCCCACACCTGCCTGCCTGGCTCCTACAATGTTCCTCCTTCCTCTCACTCCCACTGTCTGATTGGGACCTCCCAGGAAAAGGCCCAGTTCCAGTCTCTGGATCCAGTGCAGGTCTCCTACCTCCCGTGTTTGCTCTGTGTGTGGGGGAAGCAGGGAGGGTGGGAGGCAGTGGGCAGGGGATGGGATGTGGAGTCAGGTTAGACGGGTTCCATTACAGGCCCTGTCACTTTGGTGAAGTCACTTGAAACTCTCTAGGCCGTAAGTTTCCCTGTCTGTGAAAGGTGGATGGGGACCCTGACCCTCCCTTTGTGAGGAACATTGAGATCCTCCTACGAAAGGCTCAAGCAATGGCCTTTATTGCCACAGGTGTGAGAGCGGCCTCACTCACCCGGATGGCTCCCCCGCCCCGCAGGCCCACAGTCCTCGCCACAGGGTTGTAGCTGTCGGAGGCCGCTCTCTCCATGTCTACGTCCAGCTGGGGGAGCTTCACTTCTCCGTCGTCGGTGACGTTCCAGTAGAAGACCTCAAAGGAGTTTGGATTGGCGGGCAGGAGGGGGGAATAGTTATTGATGAGAAACTGCTCCAACTGAAAGAGAGACAGAAACGAGAGCAGCTTGGACACCAGCTGCGCAAATTAAACAGAGCCAGAAGACACGTCTGTGTGTACCAAAGATGCTACTACAAGTAGAGGGAAACACACTGGTTTGCTGCTCCCTCTAGTATTATCGGATGTAGAGAATCAATGATATTGAAGCAGGTGCTTGGCCATTTAAACCCAGTGGCATCTTTGAGACTGTTTTGGTTGAAATACAGTCACAGTGGCACAATTTGCTGGACATTCATGTTTGCCACATTCACAAATCTGAAAAAAAAACCAGCCAAATTAGTTGTACTGGGGTATATTTGTAACAAGCAACATCATGTGCAGTTTAGCACAGACGCTGCCATGGGGCTCAGAATCAGCGCTTTCAGTTGGCTGTTCCATGGCGTGGCTAAGAAACCAATTGTTGAAGGTGATTTTGTAGTGTGAAATGGTACCTGTTCTCTATTGAAGTCAGAGCTGTTCTGGGGCCGGGATGGCGGGTAATTCTGGGACAGCTCTTCTAGCGCTCTCGCTAGCTTTTGCATGAACAAATCCATGATGAAGATGACATCCAGATAGGCTAAGCGGTCCAGGCACAAATGGCACATGTTAATAGCTGGAGCTCCAAGGCAAATGTCTGGGTCATGATGGTCAAATGTCTGGGTCATGCTTAAACGTGCAGCACTGATGTTGACTGGCCCAGGGTTATTGAAGTTCCCGCAGGGGTTCTCTGAGCTGGGGTTGGCTGTGCACTGGTGACACACCTTGCGGAACAGATACCCGACGGTTGCATTTGCAGATGGGTGTGTATTCGTGTCCAGCAAATAGTCAAGAAACCCAGGAACCAGGCGAGGCCTCTGGTGCAGAGACCACATTCCCTGGAAAACTTTATACTCTAACCCAGCAAGTCCAAAAGTGACCCCATAGCAGCAGTGAATGATGTGTTTCTCCGTGGTACGGTTTTCCTCTTGCCCTGCCCTTGACATGTAATACAGAGCAGACTCGTCCATCACCAGTGTGACGTTTGATTTTGAGGAGGAAATCTTATCCATCAGTTTCCGACCATCAAAGATGCTCTGCTCTGTAAATTCGATGCATATCTCCCCTTGGTCGCTTTGTTCAAGGCCAGCAATGACATCCCTGGCTTCTAACTCATACCGATGAATGAAGCCAACCACGTTCCACTGGAAAGCTTTCAGCAGCCCCAGGATGCTTGGCAAGGCACCTCTGAAATTCATCTTTAGCGGGAGCGGTGGATTCGAATCTGGGAAAGGTTAATTTCCACCTTCAAAAAAAAAATCTTGCATCAGTCGGACACTGAATTACAGCAACTTTTCCGCTTCTCAAACCGGAGGTACCATGGCTGGGAAGAGGGGAGAGCAGAGAGAAGGGCTGTGACTAACCCAGCATACACTGAAGGAGTCTAACAGAGGGGTATGATCCATGGCTCTGCGTTGCACAGCACACTGCAGATCTGAACAGACCCAGACTTTCCATGCTGCCATCCAGTGCTTAATTTGTAATGAACAAGGTGATGGGGCTCAAGCAATTTTAATTTTTTTTACACTTTCATATGCCAAGCCCACAGGTGCCGGGGCTATGAACTGCCAAGATCCGGCACAAATTGAGCACTGCCACCATCAAACTTTCCACTTTTTCTCTTAAATTTTCCAGTGCTGCCCTGGAGCAGCTGAGGGCTGGCAGAGCATGCTGGGTACTGCCTTGCAGACAACGTCTCTCAGCGAGAGTAAAAGTCTCTCTGGCTTAAAAGGATGGGATTACAGAAATCATTAGCTGGTTGATAATGGAAACTGCCTCCCTTGTTCTCAGCAGAGTGGCAGAAGTTATGGTGACGGGACTGGATCGGTGTGAAGTTATGGTGATTAATGGATAGAGAGATTGTGACAGAGCAGAGCAGGGCTGATCTAACAGCCATAAATCTGACGAGGTTTTTAAAAGACAAATCCATCTAGAATCACTTTCATTATTAATACTCAGGACCCCCAGACACAGGAGCACTGGGAAGTTCTTAATAGCCATGCTAGAGATGCAGTACAACGCCACACAGCCTGGAGACAAGGCATTCATTTTATCCCACAGGAGAGGAAAGCTGGGGCAAACCCCCGCTCCCTGCTCTCAGGTTGTAAGTAACAGAGCTGGCGTGGGCTCTGTAATTAACCTCTGGTTTTTAGTGGCTGAACATTAGAACTTGAGAACTTTATTGGCGCTCTTAAACTAATTACAGTACATCAGAATTAACACTGCGTAAGAGCAGGGCCGCCCAGAGGATTCAGGGGGCCTGGGGCAAAGCAATTTCCGGGGCCCCTTCCATAAAAAATGTTGCAATACTATCGAATACTATATTCTTGTGGGGGCCCTGCTGGGCCTGGGGCAAATTGCCCCACTTGCCCTCCCCCGCGGGGCGGCCCTGGGAAAAATAAACATTTAAAAACCTTCCGCATCTCGGCACAAACCCAGTTTTGAGAAAACTTCTTTTCAAGTCACCTTTACAAGGTATCACCGGTTCTCAGCATCAGCTAGTGCTAAAAGGCACTAAAGCTCATTAAAAAGGGTTGGACAAATATTTTCCGTCAAAACTTTTTTTGGATCAAAAACTAGGGGTTTTTAAAAAGCAGAAAAAAAATCACGGACAATGTCTGCTTTCCTTCAAAACTTGTTGTGGTTTTTTTAATTGAAAAGCTGAAATTAGTCTGCCAAAACCTGAACATGGCTTGGGGTTTCAGAAGTGTGTGGCCAAATATTGCTGCTTGCTGTGTTTGATTGTTTAAAGAAACAATACAAAAATTCTGCTTAAAAAAAATCCAGAACTTTTGAACCACCTCAGCTTGTGACCAAACGCCTGAGCCCATCCAGTCAGAGATTTTTCCAGGTTTCTGATACTCTGCTGGGTTCCTTGACTCATATCTGTCTCCATGACTTTGGGTTCATTTAGGTTAGAACATAAGAATGGCCGTACTGGGTCAGACTAAAGGTCCAACCAGCCCAGTATCCTGTCTTCCGACAGTGGCCAATGCCAAGTGCCCCAGAGGGAGTGAACCTAACAGGTAAGGATCAAGTGATCTCTCTCCTGCCATCCATCTCCACCCTCTGACAAACAGAGGCGAGGGACACCATTCCTTACCTATCCTGGCTAATAGCCATTAATGGACTTAACCACCATGAATTTATCTGTTTCCTAGAGACTAGCTCCATGGGGTCCCTCACAAACTGGAGACGGTTACTGTGGGTTTGTCTCTAGTATAGACTATGTACATACTCCACGAACTGAGCATTTGAGCTTGTTCCAGAATCTGGGATGAGCCTATGTTGTGAAAACTGAAATGCTCAAAATAGCACATGCCTGTGAATGGACACAGGGTGCTAAAATTAAATTAACCCAGGGGGTCTCAAACTGGGGTCAGGACCCCTCAGGGGGTCGCGAGATTATTACTGGGGGTCACAAGCTGTCAGCCTCCACCTCAAACCCTGCTTTGCCTCCAGCATTTATAATGGTGTTAAATATATTAAAAAGTGTTTTTAATTGATAAGGGGGGGTTGCACTCAGAGGTTTGCTATGTGAAAGGGGTCACCAGTACAAAAGTTTGAGAACCACTGAATTAACCCCTCTGGAGCCTCGGGGAATGCAGGGGAGGGGGTCTCCCTTGGTAGGGTGGTGTAGGATATTGCTCTTCTCATGTGATCCCTCCCCCATGGCTCTCTTGGCTCTATCACGGTTATCTAAAGTGGCTTATTTGAAATGAAGCTCCCCTCCCCTGACATGAATCTCCCTATGGCACTGAAATTCAATGAGACGGGAAAGGGACGGCAGCCCTAAGGGAAAAGATAACAGCTCGGCTCTTCTGCAAGCCTCAAACTGCTGAATGAGCTTTAGGGTAGGGAAGGCTGTGACTCCCCAAACAGCCTGGCCCTGACCCCTATCTGACCCCCACCCACTTCCTGCCCCCCTCAAAATCCCCGACCCATCCTGCTCCTTGTCCCCTCGACCGCCCCCCCCCCCGACGATTCCCCCCCAACCACCACCCTGGGACCCCATCCCGCACAAATCCTCCCTGCTCCCTATCCACCCCCCCGCCGAGTCCTGACAGATCCCCGGAACGCCCACGATCCAACCCCCCATTCCCCGTCCCCTGACCGCCTCCCCACAGAACCTCTGCCCTCTCCCTGTCCCCGGGACTCCCTGCTCCTTATCCAACCCCCCACCCCCGGCCCTGGCCCCCTTACCATGCCGCTTACCCCTGCCTCCCCCCTCTCCTGGAGCCTCAGCATGCCACATCCAAATTGCCCCACTTGCCCCCCCCCCCCGAGCGTCCCTTCATAAGAGAGAAGCAGCAGTGGGTGGAAGGGGCTGCAGTAAGGTATATTGACCAGACAGCAAGTGTGAAAAATAAGGACGGGGGGGGGAGGGGGGGGTAATAGGCACCTATATAAGAAAAAGACCCAAAAATTGGGACTGTCCTATAAAATCGGTACATCTGGTCACCCTACAGTAAGGTTATCGGGGGGGAGGGTATCATCCCTCCCAGCAGCTCCTTGGCATGCTTTCCTTCCTCTGCCTGCCGTTAATTGGCATAGGCCATCACTCACCTGCAGCACGTTAAAGAAGAGCGAGTGTGCTGGCTCCGTGCCTGCGTAGAAGATAGTCACAATGGTTTGTGCTCCTTCCCTGTGAGCCCTGTCCATTTCGTCGAGGATCTTCTCAGAGCAGCCCGGGGGCTGCTCGCAGTACGTAACCAGCTTATACCCCAAGGAGCCAGCCCCATCTGGGCTGGCATGCTGCATGGCAAACCTGAACGCCTGGGCAAGGACGTACAGCTGGAGACTGGGAATCAAAGCAAAACAGGCCGCTGTGTAAGGCTGTGTAAAATCCATGCGGCGAATGACCTGGCAGATCTCATGGGGCGTGATTTCCACTGGTAAATACAGGCTTCCTAATACAGGACCACTACTGATCTCTCCTTAAGAATCTTTCCTTTTCTTTCACAGGGCTGGTGTCTCTGGGTCTTAGCATCTAAGGTAGCAAGTAACTTGCTTAGAGGGGAACCTGCTTCTGTACCAATCTCCCCCTGCGAGGAAATTTGACATACAATACTAGAGACACTACAGGGCCATGTCCCTGGGACACCTTGCCCTGAATGACTGCTGTGTATACACAGTTAATAGCTAAACCAACATGGCAAAACCAGCCAGCATGATGCCTCCAATAAGGCCACCAGAGTCAGGCAAACAGGAGAGTAATAATGATATTTTTAGATGCAACTTTCATGTAAATGGAGCCTATACACACAAGGGAATGACATCAGACACCACTGAAATGCAGCTACTTCTGGAGTGGAGAGCCATAAAGCAGCAGCCTGTTGGTACATCTCATATTAGGTAGCAGGACGGGCTGGTGGCAATTTTGGCCAAGGACAGCGGGGGAATTCCTATGTCTATGGAAACACTTCACAGGTTCATTGCTATCCACACAGACTAGGCAGGGTTTGGGTTTGTAAGGTCTCATCTGAAATACTCAGCACGTCTGCTTCAGCAGAACAAAGAGCCAGGTTGTCTCCCAATGGGATTTGGACCTGCAGCTCCAGGGTACCTAGAGGTGGCAAACCAGATGGTTGGGCCACTGCCTGGTGGCCCTCGATTGCTCTGTAGTCAAGGGTTAAAAGTCACCAGCAGCAGTTCATTAACAGCTTCACTGAGAGGAGTAAAGAAATCACGGAACTGGGCACTTGACTTTTCATCCCCTGCTGAATTGTCTTTCCCCAGAACTGCTGAACAATCAGAGTTAGCCCCTAGCAGCGATCCCCCCACAACCCAGCCATGCATCTTCCCCTGCCTGGAAAACCCCAGTTGGCCCATCTGCCTTAGCCCAGCTACCTGGCTTACTGTCCTCATATTGCTTACTTCCCACTACCCCACCGCACGTCCCCAGCAAAGACAGGGCTGGTTAGGGAGCTCGGAGACTCCACATCGTCTTACTCAAAAAAACTGTCCGGCTCGGTGTCGCAGACTCTGAACAGCCCCAGCACGTACAGGTCTCCTTCCCTCGCCACGAGGGGCTCACACTCCTCTGCAGCAGCTCGGGTGGGGGCCAGTGGCAACTGCACGCCCCCCAGGGCCAGCACGGCCATCAGCTTACAAAGCCCTAGGAGCGGCATGTTCAGCTTCTTGCTTTCAGCCGGTGCCCAAGGGTAGTGTGCAGGGAAAGGTCATTTATGGGAGAGAAACCACAGCATTTCAATAGAGGGCAGAGCGCAGGGAGAGACTGAACTCAACAGGCAGGCACTTGCCCCTCCCCGGTAGGCTTTTGTACTGAACACACATCCCATCTTATCCAAAGGGCTGAAAGGTCACAGGTCGCATGGGCAAGGGAAGCAGGCCAAGTTCCCACCAAAAGGGGGTAGAGTTAGGAACTACCTGTAGAAAGTCTATAACTGGATTTTACAATACCATTCTCAAGGGGGAAGACTCCTTACCCCAGCTGGTCAGAGCCACTGTACTGTGAACACTTGTGTTGTTCAAAGACAGTTTCTAGTCACGTCCTGCTGATGCTACAAATACAACTACCTCAGGGGACAGCATAACTAGACTGCAGTGCAGATGGGACCTAAGCATATTGTTACCTGGTCCTGGGACCAAGCTAAAGTCAGACAGATCAGGGAACTATTGTACTGTGGGGGAACGGGCCTCCCTGACAGTTCTACTGAGCACAGACAATCTCCTGTTGTTTTCCCCCTACGGGAACAAACTAGGGTGACCAGACAGCAAATGTGAAAAATTGGGACATGGGTGGGGGTAATAGGAGCCTATATAAGAAAGAGACCCAAAAATTAGGACTGTCCCTATAAAATCAGGACATCTGGTCACCCTAGAACAAACATCCCCTCCTATCTTTGCTGTACAAGAGTTCTCTCTCTTGTGCAAAAAGCACCTTCAATTTCCGACATCTCTTATTACTGTTGATTTGAATGAGCGGAACAGGAAAATGGACCCAGAACTTTGAAAATTACCAAATCCAGCTTCCCTTCTCAATTTGTGCCCCTCCCAGTATGTGCCATGGACAAAATAGAGCCAAGATTAGTCTCACTTTAGAAAGTAAGGGCCCTCTATCAAATGTGTGGCTACGCATCCTCGAGCGAGTCAGTTACATGGAAAAGAAGCTGGTCTCACGTGGAAGCTCCGCTGGTGTTCAGATGAAGTCCAACCGTCTGGCCCCATGGTCAAAGTGAGAAGCAGAATTCTAGGCAGCCAATATGTTTATACATAGCTTCAGCCCTTAGCTGCGTGGCCCAGGGAAAGCTCTAGGGCCACATTAATTGAAATACTCCCATCTACTTCAATGGGTTTTGAATCTTGCTTCCCCCGTGCCCGGGAAAGTGATACTAGGGCATCTGCTGTCTGGAAGAATCAGGGCATTTCCTATACAAAATACAGTAGCCAACAAATATTGGGCTATGCCTCCTTAAATAAATACTCACGTCTATCCAGACAGGCTTCCAAACAACTTCCCAGTTCCTGTAGGAAGCCTATTGCCCGGGACTGCCCCAAAGCAGAACCAAGCTCCTGGTTACATACACCCTGTGCCGTAGACATGGGATCAGTGTGTCCATGCCACTGCCATGCCATGCATCATGTGACTCTGGGGAGTGTGTCAGGAGCTGAAAGTCACATGAGTGTTGGAGTGGATTGCCTAATAGTGCACGTATATTGGAAGATAGAGCCTGCCTCTCAGACTGATCCTATTTTTTTTTTTTTTTTAAACATTGGCCATAGGCAGAGTGGAAAACCAAGCTGCTCTCCACACTCATGCTGGATTACAGAGGTTTTAAGAAGATACACCGACTTTCTTATAGAACATGGATTGGTTTCTGCTGTGAAGTGGTGAGTAACCAATCAGTGATCAGCAATAAAAGGCATTATCTGTCACACTGTGAGCTCTCACATCTGCATTTGCCTATTTTCGAACAGTAATCAGACCCTGACCAAATTTCTCCATGTAGAAAAAGTCCTATAAAATGTTTAAGCAAAGGCTGCAAGTCGATCTATTTCCCCACTCCCCTAACTGTGAAATATATAGAGTGCCCTAAGGATGGTCATAAAACGGTGGCAGCTGTTTGTTATTCTCCTTGCAATTATTCCGTCTTCCTTCATGTGAGACTACACAAATCAGTCCTAGAAATGCCACAGAACACCAGGGACTCCGATTTGAAAGTAGTCTGGTCTTTAGCGGCAAGGTACTCATGACATTGTGCATACAGTTTTGATACTGCTAAGAAATGGTCTTGTCTACGTGACAGGTACAACTACACCACAAGGTGAAGGCCTGGCTGCAGCAAGAACAGGCACACTCACACTAGCTGCAATCTAGGTCCTAGTGAGGGCTAGCTGCCCCCGTACAAGCCTGCCCAGGACCCTGGCTAAATACTCGAGTTGCTAGGCCATGCTGGGTCAGTGCCGCTGCTCCTGCACTGTGTTACTTGTTGCTAGCTAATGTGGATGTACCTGCCGGCACGGCAACCAGACCTCCATATGCAGTGTGGACATACCCTAGAAAGGGTTTGGCAGTGTGGCTAGTCCAGTAAAACCTCATTGTGGGGGGCACAGCTTACACTAGCAAAAGTTATTTTGCCGGTATGGCTTCTTACTAGTTCCAAATCGATAAGGAGGCAGGCTGGTTTAGTGGGTAGAGCATTGGACTGGAATGCAGGAGATCTGGGATCTATACCAATTTGTTTCACACTAGTCACTGAACAGCCGACAAAAAGGGTGGAGACTTGGCCACTACCCACCAGTCAGGCTAGATTTGAACCAGACACCTAGAAGTGCAGAACTCCTGTTCCCATTGGAAACTGTTTTCCTCCCACCCTCTCTCCCAGGAAATATTTTATAGCCCCACCACTGAGAGAAGAGGACAAGTTGCATCAGGTGTCTGGGCCCATGTGCACACACGGTGGTAGCTGGGGACGGAGATGTCTCGCAAAGGAAATCTTATGCTCAGTTTTGTTCTAACCTATTGTATATGCAAAGCATCATCTGGGAACCGATTTTACTGGCGAGGATAATTACCATTTTTACAGGCGGGGGGGAGAGGTGGCAGATGTATGGAAACGATATGGAAATAGGTTTGCAAGCCTAATTTTGTAGATTATTCCCCATGTGGATAGAGGAGTTTTAAGTAAGCTTCCTGGGTTAGATTTGCTAAACAGCAGGGGGAGTATGAAAGCCAAAGCCCATTATTCAAAGGAAATTCCTTTTATATCTTAACATTGAATAATTGCTTTTTAAAATACAGCAAAGTGAAACGTCCTGGGGCTTTTACAGAATCCCGTCTCCACTGTGGGATCTTCAGGCCATTCTCAAAAAGATTCAGTGTAGGGAAAAAATAAATCAGGCTTTGTTGCCTCGACAGCTCCAGGGCAAATGCTCATGCTTTAAAAAGGTGCAACAACGGTATCGTTTGTAAGAAGTAGGTTAGCACAGGGAGAAGTGAGAAGGGGGACTGAATGGAATGAGAGATGGGGAAATATTGCAAATAATCAGATGGGGAAAGGGGGGGGAGAATGGGAACATTGCTTCTTCATGCACTGATATTGCTACAAAAACCAAACCACTCCTCACGCTTAATATACAGTGATGTGCTAAATGTAAGGAAGTTGATTGGGAGCGGGGAGAAAGGGCGTTTACAGACAATTTATTCCAATCCCTCACCACAGTCCAAAACAGGAATGCATTATTTAACCCTCTCAGTCTGCAGGCTTAAAATATTCTCAAACAAATCCTTAAACCAAGATCCCTTGGGAAATCAAGTCACATAATCCCAGTAAAACACATCAATTGTCTAACAATCACCCTCAGCACGATATGGCAGTAAGTGTTAAATACAGTGTCAAAGTCAAACTGAGACCAAATATATATATATATAATTATATTTATATAAAGAGTAAAATACAGCATTTAGAACCCCAATGGAAGCAAACATTCTGTAACATGGGGCAATACATTTAAACATTTTCTTTGCATTTATGTTAGTTTTTTTTAATTTTTATATTTTTTAGAAAAAATACACGTGCAAATAACATTTTCACTGCTAAACTTTTCTAGTGTTGGAAGAAAACAGCAGAATTCGGGAAAGGAAAAAATGAGAGAGATATTGAGATCAGACATACTGTACGCTACACTTTGACGATCATCCGCTACCAGCCAAGGGTGGAGCGTTCACTGCTGGAGCTGCCCCTATGTCCATCAACTCACCAATAAGCAGAATAAAATTCTAAGTGCAGGCTACATTCCCAGAGCAGTGATTTCTCCCCAAACAATACAATTCTAGGCTAATACAGCCCATACCACCAGTCCTTGGGAAAGCGACAACCACTGAATTTTAGTTAGGCGATGCAACATTCAAATTCATCCCCCCTTTGGGAACCAGGATGGAGCAGTGTGTGTGCTCCCAGTTCTTTGGCCTGGCTTTCCCCCAAGTTCAGGACCACATTTGCACAATTACAGATAAGCACGTCCCACAGGAGTCCGCCCAGGGGTTAGGTACTAAAAGTAATGTGTACAATTGAGATGCTTGGCAATGCTGCACACTTCAGAGCAAGGGGCTCAACCCCTGTGTATTTGCACAGATCGGAACCCTTCTCATTCCACCTTGGAGGTTTGCAATCAGCCCTCGTGTGTCTCGAGAGATCTCAAAAGGGGAAAAACAGGCCAATTTGTCAAACTCTCTCTCCCAGGCTGAGCGCTGTCTTGGGGTGCTGGTCATCTCGGCTGGGGTTACTTTCCCTGACAGGCTAGCGAAGACGAGGGCCTTCATCACTTCTACTGCATCTCCAAGGTGAAATCTAAAACCAGCCTCCACAGCTTGAGCAACACAAACCTGGAACTGACTTTGCCAAAGCCCCTTCTCCATGCGGCCGGGAGGGGATTTTAGAATGGGTCTCGCCGCTGCCCCAACCCCCCACTCATCACTGTATTTACTTTGGCTCAGATATGCAAGGCTCAGCCTATGCCAGAGACACTGACGCACATCAAAGTCAACTCATTTCTACTTGGATCTGGAGGGTAGCGCTGGGGCGCCTGGGGAAGGAAAAGCTACGTAGCAAAGCTCATTTCTGAAGCCTTAAGGCTGTCACAGTTTGATTGTTTTTTTAAACAGGTGCTGCAGCTCCCAAGGCCGGTAATTACGGGAAGGGTTTGACTCAGCAATTCCTTGCTACGGAGATGAATCTCAGGACATTAAAATCCTCATCGCGCCAACATGACCTTGCATGGTGCTGAGGGGCAGGAGGTTACCCCCGAAGACACAGCTTTGAAGAAGAAAGGGGGTAAAGTTCATAAACTAAAACAACTGATGGGAAAGGTCACCGGGGCTGGGGGCTCTGAGCCCGCTAGTGCTTACATACCTATGTGTGCAACTTTAATCATGTGATGTCAGTAGGTCTAGTCACTTGCTTAAAGTTTTGCTTATCGCTTGAGTGCTTTTGCTGGCCCTGGCTAGTGGGGTCTAGATCTCCCTCCAAACCAGCTGGCTGGTCCGCAGACAGTGGTCTCCTAACTTAACTTCAGCAGAGAACCAAGCCTCGCTTCCAGCAGAGCACTCTGGAGACCCTGGAGCCGAGGGGGAGTGGGGATGGAAGGTGACTGCTCCCAATCCAACAGCAAGCAAGGAGCTGACCTTTGCGTCCATATGCTGGACAGGCACAGGAGAGGAGATACAGCCCTATGAGTCAGGCTGGCCACCTGTCATGGATGGCCACTGGATCCAGGGTGTCTGCCTCTTTTCCAAGTGGGGACAAGCACCCTGCAACGCTGGCACGACTCCCCTCTTACCCCCTCCTTGGGTGTCTCCGAGCGAGAGAGAGGGGTTATTGGGAAGCATCTGCCAAGCTTTCTGGGAGCCTGACTGCCCCAGCTCTCCCGCATTCCACAGGGGAGGGGAGTCTCAGGAGCCTCGCAAGAGAGCAGTGACCAGGGCCGCTCGCCCAGTATTCCCCGGCGGTGTACTTGGCACAAAGCAGCTCTGACCTGAAAGGGCTGAGGCAGGGGATTGTGACAGTGGGCGAGTGCACTTGGCAACTGGGCTGTGGGTGTCAAGGGAGTTAGCTAGCTAGCATGGGCAAAGAGAGGCGACTCTGGGAGCTGTGGGGAACACAGAGGGCTTTACTGCCTTGTGCTACTCAGCTGTTCCCACTTAATATTGCAAAAAACCCACCTCCTAGAGCACATTCTCCTTAGACTGCTCTGGGATCTCTCTCATTTGCACTTAGTCGTGACTTCTGCCTTTTAACCCAGGACCGAAGCACTGACTTTTCCTATTAACGCATGATGAACAACAAGTCTTAGTAGTAAGTAACTGACGACAACATGGACACATCAAAACTGGCATGGATCAGAAGAGGCAGATCTACTGCATTTGCAATCTGCCCCAGAGCTCATGAACACCACAATATCTGGTCGCATATCCAACCCCAAATGCCGCTGCTTCCGACACGCCGAGGAGACTTTAGCACTTTTACAAACATCTACGTAGGACGTTTTTTTCATTTCCTGAGCATCAGTCTACGATTACTGGCTTGCTTTGGGGGCTAGGAAGAATCACACAGCACATTTAAAAATCTCAACATGACTGGGAATATTGGCAGAGAGGTCACTCACGATGTTAAATACCCTTCTATAGATTTAGGAAGTTACACTGCAGGGCCAACAAGTCAAGAGGCAGCATTAAAACAAACCTGCGACACTATGAATCTTACAGTACGTAACCGACAGCACAGAGCAGCCCCGGACAAACATCCCTTGAAACGCAGGCTCATGTAAACAGAGTTCAGCGACGATAATACTTTTGAGGGGACACAAAGCATTGAACACACACAGCAAAATGATCACCTGAACACCACAACACAAGCAGCATTTCATGTAGACAACTGCACGATTTCTATTGTAAATTAGTACTAGGCTGTAAATCCTCGCTTGACAGCCACCGAGCATGTGAAGGGGCTCAAAGCTTGCCTGCCTTTTGCATGTGTCTGTGCTCCACAGCCTTTAACATGGGCTTTCGACACGCCTTATGTTCCCACAGGAGAAGCAATCCCATTTCCCTTGCATAAGGCTTTTCTAGAAGAAATTCCAGCATTGATCTCTAAGGTCCCTGAGTTTTGCTACAAGGTTCTCATTTTTATCGAGCCATCTGCCCCTACCAAAAAAAAGGTTTATTAGTAAAGCCTACGGCCTCTTTTAAAGTCACCAACATTATACCTGGATAATTCTAGTCACTCCATCCCTCTCTAAACACTTGACACCCAAGCTTCACTGACGCACGCTGCATGCCACACTGGTAACAAGGGACCCAGAAAGAAATGAAAGTCTGTGTACTCTGCTCTACTGATTACAATATATCCAGGAGGCTGGAGTCACAAGGCCAGGAATAAAATGAGTATTTACAAAAGGCCTTTTCAGGATGGCTCATGAAGCTGATTGGTATGGGAGGGGTCAGGAAGGAGAACGGAGGATGATTAAATTTGTGGGAAAATAATAAGATTAATATTTCGTTTCCACTTGGAACAAGAACAGCACGATCTGTAGCGTGGCACGCAGAAAGCCCAGAGGCCGAGTGACTCACTAGCACCTGCACTGGAAGTGTTATTTAAAAGTACAGACAGACGTGCATCAGTCCGGTCTGGTACGTCTGAAAAACTGGTGGCTGGAAGCGGTGGTTAACAGGAAAATGAACCTGGGTTTCTTTTGTACTGGGGCAAGTCACAAGGACACACCATGCTCCAATCATTTCTGGTGTGTCTCCTGCCCCCGAGTTACTCCCCCATCTGGGGGCCAGACTCTCATCCCCTATATTTCCATGTCCAAGCCTTGAACTACACTCCATTGCTCCACCAAGCAAACTGAAATGGGGTGAAGCTCTAGGGGGGTGGGCAGCTGCCATTGCTGACCATCTCCTGGTGGGAAGGCGTCACTTGGGAGGATTTTCAGAGCAATTTCGAATCTGCGAGAGGAAATGCACCAGCTCTACCAACAGAACCCAAGCAAAGCAACCCCTTTCCTCCTCTCTTCAGCTGACGGCTGTGGACCACTACAGATTTCCCTGAACAAGGCTGCCACCAGTCTATCGAGCATACTAAGGAAGTTCCTTTATTTGCCCTCATACTGAGATGTACACACTTCACCCGCTTTCCTTGAAGCGAATACAATAATGTTCTCAAAGGGTCACCGTGGAAGAATCTTTGTATTGAAGGAGGGGGGCTGGCTAGCCAGTTACTGCATTGCTCTGACTGCAGCAGAAAGTTCTGCAGGAGTTTCTGCCTGCCTGCCTATCGCCCAGACCAAGAGGGATGTTTTCAGATAGATAACAAAATGCACTTTGACACAAAAATCAGACTACCTGCGGCTCCACAATCAGTCTCCTACCCTTTCCCAGAGCGGTCCCATCTGCCCAGATTTTGTCACTAAAGAATTCTCTCCCTCTCTAGCCCCAATAATGGAAGCAATCAATGTTTCCTTTGGAAGGGCTGTGCAAACTGCAAGGGCATCAGCCCATCTCACTGCAGAACAGTAGGTCGAACCAGATGATGGGACAGATCGCTCTGATCTCAAGGCTGGTTCTTATCGCAGCAGCTGCTAATCTGCCAGAGCAAAACGCAGGGTGCACCTGTTGTGGATAAGCTTTCAACGCACGACACACTACAAGGAGGGTACAACTCTTGATCTCTGAGCTGGGGGGGCTTAGAGTCCTGTTTTCACCTGGATTAGCCACTGGGTACCAACCTTCTAAAGTAACAAGCACGCAGTGCTACCATTTAATTCCCACCCTTTACATCCAACCCCCCACCCTGCCTAGAGTATCTCTTGACCTCATCAGCTGTTGGCTACTGAAGCAGTCACATCAGGAAACAAAGTTTTCAGCAGCATGGCCAGTGCAAGGCACCTCCTGGGTGCCTGGGATACAGCAATCCTGCCCCTTCCCCGAGCCCACAAACACACAGGGATCTTGAGCAGTTACTCCATTTTACAGACAAAAACACCTCTTGGAATATTCGACTCGGACAATGTGACGGGGCTCAGGGACGAAGGAGCATCTGAAAAGGGTTGGTTTTGTTTGAGCTCCTATTTCTACGGGCTGCACGGCGCAGCTCTAAGGTTTGCTGACAATCATGCAGGTTTATTGTGGTGGTTTTACGTAGCCCATCTTCAGTTGCGGGTGGTCTCTGAGGAGGAAGAGTCGTCCTCCCACTCCGCACCCACACCCACTGCCGCGCCTCTCCGCCTCTCTCCAAACGCCGGACACGGGCCAGACGGCTATTCAGCAGCCATTTGCTCAATGTGATCAGTAAGCAGCTTGTTTTGCTCTGCAATGCAAAGAGAAAATGAGATTGTGAGGCCCCGGTTTAGCATTCTGCTAAGATGAAAGGAGGACGGTGGTACGTGCGTGCGGGGCAGATGCTGTCCTAAGGGTTCTGGGGGCAGTGACACAACTAGCAAGGTACCAGCATTTTTGGTTTTTATTTGGTTTAGAAACTACTGGATGGGGAGTTTCCCCAAGTGAGTCTTGAACTGTAAACAAACCAACGGTACACACGGCTAGATTGGGAGCTGCTGTGAAGTGGCATCTCTCCACTGGAATCACCCTGAGCTGCTACATTAATTGACCCCAGCTGGGGATCCAACCCCATTGAAATCAACGGCATGGTGCCCATTTGCACCAGCTGGCGATCTGGCCCTATTTACTCCAATGAAGCTGCAGCAGTTCACACAGCAGGGAATCTGGGACCATTAACTTCACTGGCACTTTAGCAATTGACCCCATCTGGGGGTCTGGCCCCATTGACTCCAATGGCGCTGCACTCCGAATCTGACCCACATGTACATTAAGAAACATGCCAGGCATTTCAGACCGCGTCGGTGAAAATACGGTGAAATAGTCTGAGTTTGCCAGAGATTAGGAGGAGCCAGTGCTCTTTGCCCAGGATACCCACGGTATTTGACAGATACGCCCTCTCTTCCGCCATTGCAATTTGATTCTCCTGGCATGCGCCTAATGCTGGGAATGGAAGTCGGCTTGGAAGTCAATTACTTCCCCACCAGCCATGTTCCCCTCCCTCCAGCGCACAGCCCCCGCGCTTGGCCTACCTTCATCCAGGTTGCCAATCACGGCCTGCTTCTTCAGGAAGTCATTGCAGAGCTTCTTGCTCAGGCCGAACGCCAACATGTTGTGAGTGAAGGTGCTGGGGAAGAGGAGAGACACATGGCACGGGCACTGCCGAGAGTCTCTCACGAGAAACCCAGGCCACACCACTCCCCCCTCCCACTTCACTAACTAGCCAGTAGGGCCGGGCCTAACCGCAGCGCTCGGCTCTGGAGCGCCCCAAAAGGCAGCGGTGTTGGGATCGGGCCTCCCTTACAGTTCGGGGGTTGGAACAGGCGTCGGGGGTTTGTGTGTTGGGCATACCCCGCCCTTCCCATATTGCTACATGGGGCAGGGGTCCTGGTCTGGAACAGGTGAAGCCCCTGGCTCTAGAGTTCAGCGTACACCCCCTGGTGGCTGCAAAGAGCCTTTCACCTTCCCCGCCAATCTGGGGGTGTCTGTTGAACTCTCCCCCTTCCCCACACCCGCTGCAGCCATCAAGGTAACCCCATTTCAGCCCCCACCTGACAAGAGTGGCAAGGGCAAAGGGGAGGGTTCTTCCAATCCCAGTCCAAGCCATGGGCAAGAGGAACTTAGTGGATTTCTTCCTATCAAGGTGGGAGAATCCTTGTGTTTGCTCTTAGGAGGGGATAGGCATGAGGAAGAGGGGCTGGAAAACCCTGGACACTAGAATGCTGGTTCTGAGAATCTTTATATAGATTAAAAAAACCCCACTACAGCGTTTTCCATGAATGGACAATCTCAATACAGGAGTGACAGCATTTCCAGGACAGTGTTCGGCTCCACCACCGAAGCTGTTTAATCAAGGAAGGAAATGCCAACGGCCCAACAACCCCTTTGCTCTGGCGTCAGTCTGTTCGTCCCCTCAGACAGACTGAATTTCTGTCCTTTGTTATCAGAGAGAGACCCGACCCAAAGCCCTAAATCGGAATGCTCGGGCCCCGAGCCAAGCTTCACAGCTCTGTCCCCATCTCTTTTTATTGAGATTTTGTCCATGACGACAACGGACAGGCTCCTTCTGGCCACCCAGACGCAGGCGTTATCAGTCAATTAGCGCATGCCTTACCCAAGCTGCCCAAAAGTGATGTTCTCGTTAAATCGTAGGCTGTCGTCACGCTCCTCCTGGGTCATGTGACACCACTTCTCCCTGCAACCACAGGAACAGATCTTGTAGCAGGAAGTCCCCGTGCAGCCTCCCCTCCCCACCCTCACATCCATCCAAACCCTGCTGGCTGCCGAGACCCAGCAGCAGGCTTGTAGGAACTGTGGAGCTGATGAATATATCAAGGCAGCCTGGAGGAGAGCACAGGTGCAGAACACCTGCCTCCATGCCCTGCTCTCTCTCTTCTGGGCAAACGGCTGAGCCGTCCCTAGGCTGGAGCTGGCAGACACCGCAGTGGTGAGGGAAATCTGCAGTGCCTTGCTTTATTGTACACGAAAACGAGTCCCTACGCTGATGACAAAAGGGTGAGCTTGACAGCAGGGACACATCAGCATGTGCCTTCCACACGCAGCTCTGAAATCTGCCTTTAATGCCAGTTACTGGGGGTGGGTGCTGGGGGTTCACCGCCTGGAAGCAGCAGTCCCTGAAGGCAGTAGCATGAAGGTAAAGTATTCACCCACGTCTCAGGCTCAGTTTACATATCAGCCTGCGCTAGTTTAACTAAAGGGGATGGAGGGGCTTAATGGATTTATTTAAAGGAGTGTAACATCTGTGTTTAGGCCTGGTCGGCTTCTAAAAATTAGATCCACCCAGCTACCTCGCTCGGGGCTGTGAAAAATGTCACGTCCTGTGCATCAAAGCTGGTTTGCCTTAACCCCCACTGCTGACGCAGCTGGGTCGATGTAGCTACCACCTCTCGCAGAGGGGAAAAAACACTCCCGTGGACGTAGGAAGTGTCTACACTCTAGCGGCACAGCTCCCATGCCATGGCTGTGCTGCTGTGGCAGAGACATGGGCTTAGACCAGGACTCAGTCAAGGTTCGCCCCACCTCCTAAAAAATAAGATGCAGAGAGATCTGGACTCCTGGATAACAAAAAACCAAGGGAAAAGGCGTCGGTTATGCCTCCTTTTCCATGGGCTGCAGTCACACGACTCAGGCAACTACCTTAATTACTATGCTGCGCTCCAGATTAGGCTGCATGGCGTGTCACACTGGGCCATTGCGAGCGAGGTCCGACAGGCTTTGTGGACTGGGAGCTGACGAATCAACGGAGTTTGATTCGAGGGAGTTTGAAATGAGACAACAGTCCTCCCCTTGAGGAGTACGGAGGGCTCAGTACACAATGCTAGCCATGCAGCCTGCATTCTCCGAGGAATATTTTGAGCTAGAGGATACGGTCTCAACTTGCCTCCGGAGGTCTAGCAAGGTCACTGAAGTTTATTGCCACTGCAACTTCATTTTCAAAATAGTAAACCTTGAAAACGGGATCTACGTTTGTTGAATTCCCATTTGGGGGAACTGACAAAAGCCTTGAAATAATTAATACTCTGAAGTGCAAGCGCCGTGGCAGATGATACCCAACAGCACCGGCAGATCAGCACCTTTTGGACTGTATTTTGAGCTCTTTACCCAACAAGTCTGCATCCACTCCCTCCTCTCATTAGTGAGGAGCACTGTGAAAAACCGAGTGGATTGACAGATGCAATCACCTAGAATACACACCGCATTTGTGTTCTTGCCGAGCATTTCATTATCAGTGAACGCTACATTATTCCCAGGAGCTAGATGCATGTTTGACCATGAAACTAAATCAGCCTATTGTATTTCGGTCATAGCCAGCACCTTTTTTGTACGCTCCCTCTCACATAATGCCCATGAAAGGTTACTGTGTGCAATCAAAACTAAAACAGGAGGAGATTGTGGGGCTCCCCATACAGATGTTTTACTAGGGGGTCTTTCACAAAGCCACTATCATGCCAGGACACAAGTCATTCTAGGTATGTTCATTACACTCATTTAATACATGCACATGGGGAAGACTAGAGGTCAGGGTTTCAGACAGCCCTCTACTGAACAGAAATCCAGTGGGGGGTTATGTACAAGGTTCAGAAGAGGATAAAGAAAAGGGAAGGAAAAAGGAACAGGAAGAAGAAACAACAGAGGAGTGGCAAAAGGAGAATAAAAGGAACAGCACACAAACTTCTACTGCATGTTTAACTCGCCTGCACCTAACTGGAGTTGGAGGTGCTGCTTCCACTAGAAATAGATGGTGGCACTAGGGTATCTTCTCAGCAAATTCCATAGTGTAACCCTAACTAGAACAAGCGTTAATTCCTGCTGGGACTGGTGAACAGCCCTCATTATCTCAGACTGCTCCCATGTAGGGCCCAATCCAGCAAGCCCTTCCTCGTATGTTCAGTTTTTGTTAGACAGCTTTGCAAGATTGGACCTAGAAACTGCAAGGGATTTAGCCGCTTCAGTGGAGTTTGTGTGGCCAAATTCTGTGCCATACTAGAAAGTTCAGGTTTAAAAGCACAAAGTCTGTCAGGATCAGGTTCACTATAGCAACCAATATATGCACTAAATCTGAAGGCTGCCAAGGCGGGGAAAGAAAATCAGCAAGGTGCTTTAAACGCTGGAAGCAGAACTTTACACATCTCACTGTCCCAGTTACAGAGGAAGCGTATTTAGGTTTTTCTGCTCTCTTTGTATATTCTTGCTGAGAGAAAACAAGATCAAAGTGACCAAGGGAGATTCATGATGCTTCTAGGTCTGTTATTCAGAAATAACGTGTTTGCAAAGGAAAAAAAAATATGTCTCTACTTAAATACCTGGATCTTTATACTGGCACAAAAGGCCACTGTAGCGATCAATTTGTTTCTTCACTTAATCCCTATTAGAAGGGCACATGGATTAAAGCTCTGACTATTATTTACAATGTACTAGGGAAAGGATATTTCTGCAAAATGAGCTTCTAAAATTCTAGCTCCTCAGCAGGGCAACAGGGATGTTGGACTACAGAGAACTCCAGGTTTGAGCAGGTACACGTCCAATTCTGGTCAGCAGTGTGATTTGTGATGCACGAGGGTTGAAATTCATCCCCTCTGCATGCAGAGGAGATGTACAAGGCCCTTGCATCAATTAAGTCCCATTTAGTCTAGGCCCCGTGCACGAGTAAATTTCACACCAGGCAACTAATTGAGCAGTGCTCTGCTTACACAAATTGAGTCTATTTCCTTCCCTAACAGACATCAGCTGCACTTTCAAGAACTTATCTGTGAGCTCCAAACAGTCCTTTTTTCGGGTAGGCTTTTTTTGTTGTCACTTAAAATGATTTGTTCCAGGATCAGACATCAAGATCTAAAAATTTTTTTTAAACCAAAGAATCTTTCCCCAGCCCCAAATTCCAGTTTGTTCTTGACTCTGATCCCCAGTAGATCGTTTCTTGAACTTGTAAAGCTCAAGAACATAACTCTCAATGCAACCTGCTAGCTTCCCCTCATGGGCACTTTTTTTTTTAAAACATAAGCCACGATTTAAAGAAAAATAAATAAATAAGAAGGCAAGATTGCAAACTGGCAAAACATCTTCACAACCTAAAGCAACAGCAGCGTTGGAAACGCACTAAGGCAGGGGATTGAATATACCTTGATTCAGCACCGCACAGGAGTCAGGAACTGAACGCGAAAAAAGCAATGCTCACCAGACCACACCATTTCACAGAGTCAGTAGCAAAGGAAAAAATAAAATAAGGAAGAGAGGATAGAATGACATTCCCCCCTGTATGCTAGGAGACTCAGTTTGTGTCCAAAAACTGCCCATGAAACTGGAGCATCGCACAGCTGCCAGTGTGTGAAGTGGCCCAAGAGAACAGAAGTACAAACCATCAACTGCTCTATCCATCACGGAGCTAGTTCATTACCGAGAGACCTCAATGCAGCGGCCTGTGATTAAGTTTTGTTTTAAAATCCACCAGATCGAAGGATTATGGATATAATTGCTTCCAGTTTTCTTCTAGTCTCACCGATCGCACTATCCCCATTTCCTGAAGGTGGAGCCAGATCTGAATTTGTGCCCATTTCTCATTTGAGCAGGTGGTATTTCTGAGCCCAGCCTGCATCCGAGACATTTTACCATGGTGGCAAAGTTTGGACCTGAAGTGAGTCAATGCTACTGTAAAAATGCAACAAAGTAATGTGGACAGACACACCTCTTTTCCTCTTCCTCTCCAGTGTTCCCTCTGGAGTGGCAGCAGAAACAGGGTCAACAAAGGTTACATGTTAAAGATCATGCAAGATATAGGGATGGAGAAAAAGAGAAGAACAGATGAAAGAAAGAAAGTCATTATAGGCAGAGAGAAGAAAAAAGGATTTTTGTTATTTTTCTTTCCCCCTTGCAGGAAAATCGCCTTCCCAGTGATCTCAACTCTTCTCCTGTTCTTCCAAAGCAATTACCAAGTATGAAACCAAACATTTCTACTACACACCCCCAGCCACCCTGGGGAAGGACTTTAGGCAGTTGTTGCTTTAGGGATTTTCCTCCTGCAGAGGGCTGCGAAGAGAGAGATACAAACCCAGCTCGGTAAGAAAAGGTGTTCACAAAAGCAGACTCTCTCCTGGAGGCCTTTAAGAAAAGGAAGGACAGGGGAAGGTGTCTCACTGCAGGGACCTAGTGTGTCTTTCTAGCCTGGTCAGAGGGGGTCAGTGACTGCTGGGCACACTCAATGACTGCGTCTCAGGAGCAGGTGAACAGTTCAATGGGAAGCTCCCATCTATAAAGCAGGGTTGGAGTCGAACACTGAAAGGGACCAGTCTTTGGACAGAAGATGAGTTTCTCATCACCTTTAATCCCCGAGGGCCAAAGGTCAAGGTCCTTAACTCAGAAACTCCCATCAGCTTCAACGAGAGTCTGCCGCGGGGTACGTCTACACTTGGAGCTGGAGGTGTGATTCCCGGATGAGTGAAGCTGCAGCAGCACGAGCTGCGGGATGAGCTAGCCGGCTTGAGTATGTACCTAGGGTCTCTGACGGGCATGTACTTGCAGTGGCTAACCCGTCCCGCTGCTCACACTGCCATGGCTACCTTCTATTTGTAGCATGGTAGCTTGGTGAGAGCTAGCGTGTGTTTATCTCCTCAAGCTGAGAATTGCAACCCCAGCTCCATGTATAGACATACCTCAGTCAGGACTTCAGTGTAGGCCAAACCCTAGCGAGTAACCAGGAGACCAGAACCCATTCTAAACCAACGCTGAGAAAATGAACAACATCAGGATAGCGGCTTCTCTTTGCCAAGCCAAACCCTAACCGAGGCACTGAAACTGTCGCTACCAAGGAATGCAATGGACTAGTTTAAGCCCTTTTCATGCTAATGCACTGGAGACCATACAAGGAGCTATACAATATGGTGAGAGACTTGGTCTGAGCACTGGACTGGGAGCCAGGAGCTTGCAGGTTCTAATCCCGTCCCCGACACACTCACTTCCCTCCATCTCAGTCACCCCATCTGTACCACGGGGATGAGAATGCTTGCCTGCCTCCAGGGAGCTGCAAAGATTAATGTTTGTAAAATGCTTTGAGAATGAAGAGCCCAAGGTGTTATAAAATGAACCTCGTGGTGCCTACAGAAATGCAGCTATGATCTTTAAAGCACAGAGATCTTTAGAAACAGACCCCCAGACCACAAGCCAGAAGGGCTGTAAATCCGGAAGGGGTTTACATCTGCATGCGACTTTTGCACGAAGCCCCTCTGCAGCTCTGGGGAAAAGGATAGAAGGCCAGGGCCTGCTTTGATTGCTCAGATTCAATACTCCATCACCATTATATGAAAGGAAGCTGCAGCATCAGTGTCACGATCCCCTTTGCAATCCATTGCACGTGAGAAGCTGGAGGCATTAATCCCGTAGGAGAAACCCTTACATACATACATGCTCCTGCATTAATGATCACAGCTGGAAGACACTGCAGGTTCCTAGAACTGGTATTTATCACTGGCTGCTATGATAAGAAGCTGCTGGTGAATCTCTTCTTGCAGGTATGAACCCGATTTTCATCTCATTCCTCTCTATGAAGCAGTGAGCGCCATGTCTGCATGGCGCCTTACCTTGCACCCACATGGAGCAGGCAGAGCTGGAACCAAGCCTGTTGCTTTGCCCCCTGATTTCTAACTTAAAACGACTTGCAGTGGTTTTATTTTATTTGCAGAGACCAGGGCCGGCTCCAGGGTTTTGGCCGCCCCAAGCAGCCAAAACAAAAAAAAACCCAAAACAAAAAAACAAACAAACAAAAAAGCCGCGATCGCGATCTGCGGCAGCAATTCGGCGGGAGGTCCTTCACTCCCAGGCGGAGTGAGGGACCGTCCGCTGAATTGCCACCGAATACCTGGACATGCCACCCCTCTCCGGAGCGGCCGCCCCAAGCACCTGCTTGAGAAGCTGGTGCCTGGCGCCGGCCCTGGCAGAGACTGTCTGAAGGGCTGTGATCAGCAGATCTGGCTGTCTCAGAGCTCTGCCAGGACCAAGGTGTCTCAGCAGTTTGCTTGCTAAATTTTGGAAACTGTGGTCATGTGCAATGTGATCCTGGCAACCACTTGTTTTTGCGAGGCGTTGATCAGCCAACTGCACATCTGCAGCATGTTCACGGTCAACTACAGCAGAGCCTGGATAGAGAACGGGATCCAATTTAGGAACACACAAAATTATTTTCCAAGACAAGAAACTCACGTGCAATGCTCAGTCTGCTGCATGAGTTCACCTGTTGGGGGCTTTGGATATAAAATGGATCCTTTTCTTTTCAAAAGGAAGAAAACCCAGCTTGTCAGCTTTTATATTTTAACTATATTCATTGATTCATAGATTTTATGGCCAGACAGGACCATTTGATCATCTAGCCTGATCTGCGCATATTGCAGGCTATTCAATTTCACCCAGTTACTCTTATGTTCAACCAAACAACTTGCATTTGGCTAAAGTTTACCCTCTGGAAAGCTTTCCACTTTCACTGGAAGACACCCAGAGATGCAGTAATCATCACTTCCCTCGGTAGTTTGTTCCCATGGTAAATCTGTTAAAAATTTGTGCCCAATTTCCATTTTGAATTTGTCAGGCTGCAGCGTCCAGCCATTAGGCCTTTCTCTACTGGATTAAAGAGCCCTTTGGCACCCAGGAAGGCATTTTATACACTGTAATCAAGTCATCTCAATCTTCTTTGTGATCAGCTAGACAGACTGATCTCTAAGTCTTACCGCAAGGCATTTTCTTCAGCCGTTGATTCTTTATGAAACTGTTTTCTGCACCGTCTCCAATTTTTTCAACATCCTTTTTAAAATGCAATCATGATTGTGTGCAGCATTCCAGTATCGGTCTCATCAGTGCCAGATAGAGAGAGAAAAATCACATCCCCACAGCTACTCTCTACTCCCGTTTATACACCCATGGATAGCAGCAGCCCTTTTTGCCAGAGCACTGGGAACTCATGTTCAGTGGCTTATCCACTCTGACCCAGAAATCCTTTTCTGAGCCACTGCTTTCTGGGATACATTCCCCCATTCCGCAGGTCTGGCCTGTATCCCTTGTTCCTAGACTTTGCATTTGGCTGTATTAACACACATTTGGTTTGAATGGGCCCAGTTTACCAACTGATCCAGATCTCTCTGTATAACTGCCCTCTCCTCATCCGTATTTATCTCTGCTAATCTTTCTGTCATCTGCACATTTTATCAGCAGTGATTTGATATTTATTGCTAGATCATTGATAAAAATATTGAATAGTATCAAGCCTAGTACCGCTGCCTGAGGAACGCCACTAGAAACACACCTTCTCAATGAGTCCTCACTGACAGCTGGTTTATGAGATCTGTCAGTCAGTTCTTAATCTATTTCATTTGTGCTCCATTGTTATTGCATAGTGATAATTTATTAATCAGAATATCATGTAGTACTACATCAAACGCCTTACAAAAGCCTAAATGTATTATTATCTATGCATCTGAAGAAGTGAGGTTCTTACCCACGAAAGCTTATGCTCCCAGTACTTCTGTTAGTCTCAAAGGTGCCACGGACTCTCTGTTGCTCATTATCTATGCAGTTATCTTTATCAACCAAACTTGTAATCTCATCAACGAATGAAATCAGGTTTGTTTGACAAGATCTATTTCCCATGAAATCATGCTGACTGGCATTAATTATATTCCTATCTTTTAATTCAATTCCATATCAACTTTTACATTATTTTGTCTCTGACTGATACCAGGTTAATTGGCCTGACCTGGGTCTTCGTGCTTGCCCTTTTTGAATACTGACACAACATTAGCATTCTCTCCATCTTTTGGAATTTCCCTGATATTACAGTGTTTATTAAAAATCTATCATCATCAACAGGCCAGAAATCTCCTCAGCCAACTCTTTTAGGACTCTTGGGTGAAGTTATCTGGACCTGCCGATTGAAATACGTTTATGACTATGAGATGATGTTTAGCATCCTCCTCAGTCGCTAATGGAGCGGAAATAACTTTATCCTGCTGTCTGTCTGATTTGGGAATTTTCTTTTGATTACTGTCATCAGCCTAGGACTTATCTTGAAGTTTTCAGTGACAAAACTACTGCTCATAACTATAACCATGGGGTATGTTAACAGCATACCAAAGCTGCTTATGTCAGACACCACGTTCACCAGGGGAATCTCAGCCCCCAGGAGATGTGGGTAACACTAGAAGGTTCCTTTACAGCAAAGTTTTGGTAGCAGAGTTTAGCATAACATTTGCAGAGCAGTGAGAATGAAGAGCTGGGTCTCCCAAATGGTGACTAAGTTAATTCCAATAGGGGGATGACCTCTCTACTGGGGGCAAATTAACAAGGACTGCAGAGAAGCGACCGCTTTAAAAAAAACCATGGGGACAAATTAGGACGACCAAGCACAGCAGAGAAGAGTTTCCAAGGAGCTTTAGACTCAAGAGTCACTCCATTACCTCTGGATTCCTGTCTACAAACAGGAATGAGTGTCAAATGCACCTCTGGTGTAAGCAGGTGTAATGCACTCCCATTGAGTACCGCACCTGCATACTTCAGGGCTCAATTTTGGCTTAAGTACTAGAAAAAGGGCCTTCACGCTATCACTTATGTCTTGAACAGTCTCTAACTGATACCACAGACCAGGCAAAGTCATTCTTGCCTTATCCCTGCTTTCACATACCCCGGCGGAGTCTCTGAATGATGCACACATTCCTGCAAAGCTGCTGAAACCCTGGAGACCCTTCGTCACAGCTGCGTGCATGGGGAGGGAGATGGAAGCGTTAACAACGCTACAAATCTGTAGCAGGAATTGGCCCAGTCTGAGGCTTAATGAAGCCACAAAAAGCCTTGGTGCAATACATACCAAGAGTGCAACTTACATCCCTCCCCACAACAGCCAAACCAGAAGGGCGGCAAGGGCAGACGTGTGTGTGTGTGTGTGTGTCTAGGTACCAGTGACAGCACACATGGAAACACCCCACAGTACCCAGGCACTGACTGACTGGGAGCAGAGTTTATGGCCCATCTCCCAGTTGCCTTCTGACTAAGGTCAGGCACTAAAATACTGCGTCCATTTCTTAACATTTGACTTCTACAGCAGACTGAGCCCTTCATTCCTCAGGAAGGGGAAACGCTTCGCAAACTACACACGTGCACCAGAGAAATGCACGCAGCTCTGGGGTGGGCACCGCATGCTCCATAACAGGGCGGGGAGATGTGCCAGCAGGGGCCATTTAGGCTAAGACAGTAGGACAAACCATTCCTCTCCCATGAATTAGCATCCTGCCTGTGGGGCGTGGCCACAGGGGGTTATGGTTTCACCCCCAATGAGCACAGTACTCACTGTACACATGCCATGGAAGGACGAGGAGCTGAAACAAGATTTGAAACTGCAGTTCCAGGGGGAATCTTGGAATTTCCAGCCTGAGGCTTAGATTCCCGAGCACCTCCCTCCTCCCCCCGAGCCAGCACGAACCTGACTATACCATGGCCAATCACCTGCTGGGTGCCAGGTCTGAATGAAGGGATATTGATATGGAAGGGTTCAAACCAGCGCAGAATGTTACTCTGAGCCTAGAGGGCTTCCCCTGGCCTTCCTTGGAGCTGCTAAAACAAACCACAGCGATGCTTTCTGTGGATTTAGCACTGTCCTTTAATTAAAGCTAAAAGGTAAGTCACTGAACCTGATATTTTCAGTGTCCCAAAGCGAGCTGCAGGACGCTACTCATTTTAAATCTGCTCTTGATATTTTCATTCAACAAGCTGTGCCCAGGCTCACTTTATGCAGTTGGCCTTTCCTACCTTCCCAACGGTGCGACATGAGACAGTGCAGCTTTTCAAAACCTCGGCAATATTTGCCATATCCTGGCCACAGCTGAGAAAACGTATTTATTACAAATGTGTTTTGTTTTTGCAGACAAGGAAAATCAGCCATCCGGTTAGCTCAGAAAGGCATTCTCATCACAGAGCAGCTGCCAAAGGCACAAGACCTTGCGAGACATTTGCTCCTGCTAATTTCATGCTTCATAAATGCAAGTTGTATTAATGTTCAGTAGGATCTTCCATTGGTTTGTGTTTAAAAAATACTGAAAACATGCCAGTCTTTTCCGGTCCATCAGGGCACTTCATATCTGGTAAGTAGCTGAGTCCTAGATTTTGGCATTTTTCAACCACAGATCTCAAAGCACTCTACAAAGGTAAGGAAGCATTGTCCCCATTTCACAGGTATGGAAACTGTGGCAAAGAGCTGATTCGCCCAAGGTCACACACTGAGTCAGTGGAAGAGCAGGAACAGAAGCCAGGTCTCCTGACTCCCAATCCAGTGCCTTATGCACATCGCCATGCTATCTTTCTTAAAGGGACACTGTCAGGTTAAAAACAATTTCTTTTAAAGTAAGTGCCCCAACCTCTGTTATAAGCAACATTTCAGAATACTAAGTCAGAGAGAATTTTAAAACCCAAATTGATTCCTCACCACTTATGAAGCTTATTTCAACATTTAACTCAGTAACTTGAAAGGTCAATTTCACTTCTCTTTTGAGTCCATCTAATTTCTACTTCTCCTCTGCCTGTACCATGCTGCCGCCACCCTTTCACAACACTACAGAGGATTTTGCAATCCTAGCAATGAAACCTCCCATATAATTTTATCATTTCCCTGCAAGGTCTCTATTAACACAGCTCTCGTATGACTTGCATTTAAAAAAAAAATAAAACAGACAAAAAACCCCTACTAGATTTTGGACCCAAGCTCTGCGACTGTGTCCCTTTAAAAGCAACTAAAAACAAGAAAATCTTTGAGATCCCAAATCCTCAACAAGATAAATGTCTAGACTTAAATGACACGTGTATCTATATTCAAAAAGAACACTGGAAAATGCATTCTTTCCTTTGCTTAGCTGCCTAGACCCAAGCTCAGGGTTCTACTTCCATAGCAGCCCTGTAATCAAACACCCAAGGCAGAGCGATTCCCTGCAATCTGCTTCTGTTTCGGTAGATCAGGTCAATAGCGGCAGGACCAAAGCAGGACCTTGGGTTCAGGTCTTGGCAGATAGGTAAAAGGAGACTGATCATCATCTATTTGCTATACAAACGTAGCTATTTTGGAGAGATGATTTCAGTGGATTTCTCCTGCCCCAAAGGCACACGGCCTCTATAACATCGATGGGAACTGCACAGCTGAACCCCTCTAAGCCTATGGTAACCAAGCCCCTCAATGTTATTTGATCACAACTTTCTGTGATCGAATAGAAGCTGCCTTAGATGCTCTCCTATGAAATTGCAACCTCTGAGAAGCGCTGATCCCCACCCCTGCAAGTTCTAATGGCCGGGGCTGCACTGCAAGGACCAGCCCTTTCCAACAGCTACTATGCAATAGAGGCAGCCTCACTATGCACTGTACCCAGTGCAGAGAAAGGGCCTTCAGAAAGAAGGAGGGGACAGGCTCCAATCACCATACTCCTCCCCCATAACGCTCCACCCGGGATTCCAAGCTCTCGGACCTTCATGCAGTTAGTTCTAGAATTAGCCATGGCAATTGCCTTCGCAGTGCAGCAGGATTTAAACAGCTTTCAGCTGGGCGGATTTCTCAGCAAACAGCTGCAGCGGGACGGGTCTAACCTGTCATCTCCACTGTTGGTGGGGCTGAGGAGTTTGAGGGTGAAACATGGGCTGTTTTCCCCTTGCCTTCCAGCCCTCCCTTGCCAAGGGCAGCCAGGATTTCATGTTCACGCCCTACCTGGTGGTGGGAGATCTCTTCCTCCTCTCGCAATGGACAGCATCGAAAAAGGCTGCGTTCCAAAATCTCAGGGTGTGCCTGCAAAACAGGGAGAAGGCATTGGAGACGGCGCGTTGCACAGGAGAGCACGGCCGCCACCCCAGCAGCACCTCCGAGCGACTGCGGGGCACTTGTGCACGTACACGGGGTCCTGCCAAAGTGCCCTCCCCATAGATCCAGCCTTTGGCTTCTATGCACACAGCATGCAGCAAAGAGAAGTCAGCTTTACTGAGTTGTTAATTCCTGGGGGGTTTTGATCAGTGGCTGCGTTGATAGATCTCATCATTTGGAGGGTGGGGGTGGGCAAGGGGAAGGCATGTGCAAAGAGTAGAATACTTGGATCAGGCACATGGCTGAGTTATGGGGAACGGCAGCACGTCACTCGGTCAGCATGGCAGGACCAGCTCTGGGCACTGTTCTCTGAGTCGCTCAGGGCCGGGGTTCCCCCTCATACTGCTGGTGCTGGGCAAGTGGATGCTAATGCCAGCTGACTCAGAGGTACCAGGCACAGCTGGGCCCCGGGGGCTGCAGCGGAAGGCGGATAACCAGTCTTTACCAGATAGGCTGCTGCTTCAGGTGCATATATAAATAGATCTTCTCTCCCTTCTTCTCCTCCTCCTCCTCCTCGGGGCTGTACAAGGAAACTGTCGGGAAGCAGAGTTGCACATCAAGGCTGTGAGGAGGCTGATCTGTACGAACACAAACTTAGCACTGCTAAGCCACTCACCTCCCCACCCAAGCAGTCACCCCGAGGTATCGAGGGAAAAAAAAATCAACTCAGACCATCCCTAGTGGGCGGAGAGCAAAACCGGCGCTGCTTTGTTTTTCCTCCTCAGGCTGCTGCTTGAACTAGAGGAGCTGGTCCATTAGCTCAGAGGCAGGAGCCGACACAAACCTCTATACCGCGAAGGGCGACAACACCACACCACAAAGCACCACACTGCGTGCGTGCAGGTTACATTCAGCATCCACGGGATGCTGCTATGGAACGGGAGATGCTACTGCTCTGAACAATGGATTGGAAAAACGTCCTCTGGTTTCACTGCAGCTTCCTTAGGTGCCCCTGCAAACCGCACTGAGAAGTTGTCAGTCATTCCCTATGGCGATTTCACTCTCCCGGTCACTTGACATGACGCTGGCTGTGCCGGGGCATTTCACACCGTGTCTGCCCCCTGAACCCCACCCTAAGGTCCTGGGGATCCCTTTGCTAAAGCCATTGATTTGCGGCCGCGCTGCTTACCTGTCTTCTGCAGCTTCTCCTTCGGTTTGTCTTCCCCTTCCCTACAGCAAAGAAACCGTGCCAGTCAGCACCTCCCTCTCAGCTCCCCCTCCTATCAGCCCACATAATTAAGCCATTCAGCCTGCTGGCATCCACCTCCCCCATCCAGCCCTTGGGGCGAGACGCAGTGGTGAGACACAAGAGGCTGACCGAGGTGCTAGCCATGGCCAACGTACATTGGAGCCCTCGGGAGAGTTTCACCCAATAACTTCATGCCCACGCAGACTATTTCCCCGTAATGTCTCCGGTGCTTTGCAGTCACACTTTCCTCTCAGAAGTGGGCAAGCATATTATCCCTATTCTACAGATAGGGAAAGCAAGGCACAGGGAGGCTGGCTGATTTGCCCAAGGTCACCCAGGAAGTGCAATCCAGCTCTCCCAACTTCCAGTCCCATGACTAACCATTAGAGAACATTCCAGCTCTGGAATCACCCCCCTTGCAGAGTTGGGGCGCTCAGTCGGAAAGCCCCTGGAAGGTTGTTACCCTTCTCTCTGCATTGGGCGTTCTCACACTCTCTCACTGAGGGAGCCACATCTAAATGGAGAGGGTGTCTTGGGGACACCTGCATGCCCATTTGTGATCACACAGGCCACCTTCCCTCCGGCTCCCATTGGTGGTCAAACATCGCCTTCCTGCCGTTTAGTGCATTTGTAGTTTAATGAACTTTACAGGCTGGAAATGAGGCACAGCAACCAGCGGCATGTGGCCTGCCAAATCTCTTCCGCACATCGGCACGTTCTCTCTGGGCTGCTGATGGTCCACGGAGCAGTTTGGGAACCACTGCTCTACGCCCAAAGAAATCCAGCTCCGGAGACCACCTGTCTCAGCACAGATAGGGACAGACGTGTAGGCCTCGCTAGGAAGCCCACGTAATGCTAAGAGCTACAACTGGAGAGCCTGAATTAGCTCTCAGATCTAGGGGCCTTGTGCTGGATGGAATCATACCTATCCATGTGTCTGTCTCACGCTCTAGTGACTGCAGAGCTGGGTGCACGTGCTATAGGGGAGATAAAGCCCTGACAGGTAACGGAGGCCCTCCTTTAGCCACCTGAGTAGAGGCACCTGCTTTCAGAGCAGGAGGTCGCCTGTTCTACCCCAGATAGCACGCGCTAAGGGATGAAGGGCACAGCCCGTTTGTCTAGCCCACAGCACGCGTCCCCTACACAGGGCGTCACAGCACTGCTGGAGCAATACTCACTCGCTTTTCTTGCCCGTGGGTCCCTTGAGCTTGGTTTCCAGCCCCCCGAAGAAGCCCTTCACATTCTCAGTCTTCGCTGACGTGTTCTTCAAGAGTCGCTCGGCAATGTCTTTCTTCTCAGCCAGCCAGCTGTTTGCTGACTTCAGGTACGAGTCGATGCTCCCCATGGGCTTCTCCTTAGCTTCTGAGGGCAGCGCCTGGGCTTTACCTACAAGAGAAACAGGAGGCTTCTAGAAATGGCTCTTTTAAGGGATCCCAGGATAACTAAATCTAGGCTGCTCCCTACCACAAAGACGGCTGCACGGCGTTAGCTACAAGCGCCTCAAGTACTTACTCCTAGAAAGGTTACAAAGACACCAGGTTTTAGCCACATGGAGACTAAACCAACACCACAAGGCTTTACAAGGCAAATCCCCTGTGTCAGCATCTCCGTCTCTCCAGGATGCATCCTTCGCTTTAAAGCCAACAGCGTGTGCATGATGGCCAGCATCTCCTGAACCAACAGGTGGTGCAAGACAGACTGCTGAGGGGTTTGGCATCCTCATAGCTAGAGAGCAGAGAGATTCTCTTGGCTGCTGCAAGGACAGTCAGAGGGGGACCAGTCACTCGGGACGTCACTGGTCTGAGATCTAGAGCAGTGGTTCTCAACCATTCCAGACGACTGTGCCCCTTTCAGGAGTCTGATTTGTCTTGCGGACTCCCAAGTTCCACCTCACTTAAAAACTTGGGCTTCAGCTTCAGCCCTGAGCGGTGGGGCTCGGGCTTTGGCTTTCTGCCCTGGGCCCCAGCGCGTCTAACACAAGCCCTGGCGACCCCATTAAAACCAACTCGCCCACAGTTTGAGAACTGCTGATCTAGTGTATAGAGCCGTATAAACAAGTCATTGTAGGAAATTTCAGTTTGCGTTGACTTCACTAGTGCTGGTTAGGTAGCCTGTTGTAAAACCAGGCAAATATCTAGATGAGTTGATGTGCCCCCAGAAGACCTCTGCGTACTCCCAGGGGTACGGGTACCCCTGGTTGAGAACCACTGTTCTAGAGGAAAACTCTTTCCAGCAACCGACCGGATATTTTACGAATGCCATTTCCCCTCTCCATCGCATTCACCAAGTCCCTCACTCTCCAGCCCCCACATTGCTCGGGGTCTCTCATTAGGTTACCCATCTATTTCCTTTAGTCCTTTGGGACCAACTAATCACCGCCTCACTGTGCTACGAGTCCACATCAGCCCAGCTCCACTCGCTGACTCCCCAAGACAGTTTAACAGTATTCCCTCGCTGGCAGCGGGACAGGAACGGCGAGTCAGAGAAACTCAGCAATTAAAAGACGCTTGCCCCAGTTATGAGAAAAAAAAAGCTGTCACTGGACATTGATTTCTTATTTGAAAAGCTCCAAGCTCAGCAGAATCAGAGGAGCCCGAGCTCCAAGCTCAGCAGAATCAGAGGAGCCCGGGTTCCTAACAGGGGGAATCTTTGAGCCTCACGAGTCCGTTTTAACCTGAGCTCACAAACTTTGAAATGAAGTAAACTCAATCGCGCAGCACTGCCATGACCCCCTCACGCTGTGCTGAGCTGATAACACGGGCCTTAGAACGGGTGCGTTTCCTGGCCGAGAACACAGGAACAGGGACCCTCTAATAATAAAGGAGAGATGTTTAGAACAGCCGGATTCCCCTTCTACTGCAGCTAGAGAAAGCATGCGCCGCAGACCCAGGTTTCAATATTTATCTATCATGGCTCCCATCGGCCCAATAGCCAAGCACTACTGTAATAGCCAGCTGACATCTCTTCTGATGAATGGACAAGGACACACCAGAGTTTGTCCCCCCTTGGGCATTTGTGGTAAGACATTGAGCACCAAAGGGTTCAAAGCAGCCGTGAGCTGCCAGACGATGACATCTGGAGCACCCGCGATACACTGAGAAACATGCTCCCCTCTCTCTGCATACACATAACTCACAGTAGCACTAATGACAATCATGCACAGGAAGAAGGAAGAACCCTCAATGCCATAACAACACCGGGCTCCCAAACACCGCTCAGCTCGTGCTGGACGTTAGTTCCGGTGACTGCGATACCGATTCCACCTCCGCGCTGGGCATTTGGTGCAGGAGCAGCACCCGCAGCCAGAGGAACACGGACAAGGAGAGAGAGAAGCGAGGAAGCTCCTGTTTTTTAAAATGGACACAATTTTCTGTTGAAAATGGCCCCTAAGGCTGAAGAGTTCCCTGTTTAAAAGTGCGTTGGATTTAGACCAAGATTTTCAGACGTGACTAGTGATTACGGGTGCCTCAGTTTCTGCGCATCCAACCAGAGACCCAGGAAGGAGGCCTGATTTTAAGGCGGTCCTGAGGCCCCCCCGCTCTGAAAAATCAAGCTGCTGAAGTCTCTCAAGTTGGCGCCCCACAAATCACTAGTTAATTTTGAAAACTTTGACCTTTAGTTTTTTAAACTTTGGTTAGAAAATTCAGCCCCCGGCAGATACCATTCTCAGTGACTGCCTCCCAATCTCAAATCAAGCGGATGTTTCTGCTTGGGACTAGGGACGTCATCCTAGAGCCAGCTGTGCCCCTCCAAGCGAACACACGTCTGTTCTAACCACCCACCCTCACGCTTATTCTGAGTCGTTTCAACACCCCTGCTCCTTCAGCCAATACGAGAAAGGCACCGGTGCGCACAAGCTGCTTACCGATGTGATAGTAAGTGAAACACATGGTCATTAGATTTTTGGCAGGACCAAAGTCATCCATCTGGTGACACCTGAAATGGGTGGGGGAGAGAGACACAAGGAATTAGCAGCCACACCTACAGCAGCATAGCGGAACTGGTAGATACCCAGAGGTACCAGATGTTTTGGTACCAGGCCACCTCCTCCATACTGTCAGCTTAACCATCCTCACCCTCCAGGTACTGTAGATCCCATTTGGGAAATGTCAGACTTCCCGCATCCCAAAACTGCTCAGAGCCCCATCCACCCCAGCATTACCGTCTCTAAATCCACCTACCTACCCAGGAGCAGCTCCCCCGGCTGCTTTACACTAAACCAGACACTCTGCTTCCAAGCAGCACCGTGCATTCACACTGGAGATGCTGCCAATTGACACGTGGCCCTCAAAGCAATTTTGGTGCAATGCAGCTGGCACAAAAGGTGCTTCCAGAGACATTGCTCTGCGGTTCAACTGTGGACAGGCAGCTATTCAGTTAGCACCGGTTGCTGACTTTCTACTTAGCTGAGGCTGGTCTCCCGGAATTAGGTGGCGTGAAAGCAAAGCGTCCCTCTGATGGCTCGGTGAGTAGGTTACAAGAGGGCTCAGTTGTGAAAAAGGAAATCAATCCTGCTTTGATATCTGCCATTACTTACTCGAACAGCACCACCGCAAAGGACTGCACCAGCCGATAGAAAGTCTGCTCCGAGACGCACTTGGAGTTACAACGCTGCAAAGACAAACAAAGCTGACACACGCCACTGAGAGCGCAAGCTCCGAAGACCTGACGCGAGTGCTCCCAGAGAATTCGCCACAGTGGGGCTGGGCCACTGGATGCTGGTTTGACCGTGTGGAATTTTACTTGGGAGCTGGGAGGGGGTTTGATGAGTTATTTTGATTTTTTTTTTTTAAATGAAACTGACGGCTTCTAACATTCCACTGCCTGGTGATTGATACAGTCGCATTTTTAATGTAATTCAATACATGCATCCCTTTGCCCCCAGCTCTCCCCACTGAGATGAGGCATGGTCTCCAAACACACCACTCTGCTGTTCTAACAGACGTCCAGGAGACCCACCCTCCTGCCAGGCACCCTCAACTGCTTTGACACAGTTAGCATCAGGCAGCTGTTATCCCCTGCTCACCTGAGCACTGACGTATCTTGCAAACCACTCCCTGCCTTTTCCGTTCTCTCCGCTGCACAGCTCCCCAAACTTGGCCTTCTCTTCTTGGTCCAGGTCCTCCCTGGAACGGACAAGAAATCAAACACTTCAAATTACCCTCCCGCACTGAGCTGCTCAGAAAATCCCTGCAGCCTGTGAAACAAGCGGAGGTATTCGGAGAGCCAGGAGCAGCCCGTGGGGGGAAAGAATCCATGAGTTCTATCGAGGACACAATCAATCAAGGACGCAGATGTATCAGCAGCGCTACATGTACAGGACACAGCTGTATTGTCATGCACATACCTGCTGCTCGGCCACTCCATTCTGCTTCTGGTCTTCACTAATAGATGCAGGACATCTATAGGAGCAGTTTTTTTGTTCAGTGTATCACAAATCACCAAGGGTATGTCTACACTGCAACATGAGCCCAAGCTTACGTCTATTCCCTACGTCTAATTACGTCTAATGAGTCTATGCTGCAATTGCGCTAACTCAGGGCTCCGACACAGAGTCCCAGGACCCTGCAGGGGTGGAGGGTCCAAGATCAAGTTAAGCCGGGACTCAGGATCTGAGCTCTATTGCTTTGCAGTGTAGATGCAGCCCAGCTTGACTTGGGGGCTAAGGAGTCAGCTGGAAGTATCCCATAATTCCATGGGACAGATTTCTTAGTCCTCTCTATCCCCACAATCTGCAATGCACTCTATTGAAAACGGAAGCCATCCCTGCTTTGCGAATGGCAGCAGCTCAGGTCGGCGTTGACCCATATTCTTCTGATCACCAATCTGCAAGCATGCTGCCAGAGAGCCGCCTGGGTTTGCAATGGAGAGCGAATCGATCAAACCTTCTGCAAAAGCAAGCTGCTTCCTGGTAACATGCAGGGCAGACAGTAAAGTTTTCCCACCGTGCACCACATTCGGGAGTAAGGGGTAGCTAGGGACTCGGACATTGTTACTTTGATTCAGGTCTGCGCACGTCAGTGTGGACATCAGAGCCCTAGGTTCGAGCACGGATTAGAAAAACATCTTAACATAGGGTTAAAATACGTCTACATTCAAGCCCAGGATTCCCTAACACAGGTCAGCTGACTCGAGTCCCACTAACCCTGGGCTTACATTGCAGTGTAGACATACCCGGAGTTACACATTCATCTTGCAGTAACCCCCAGAGGTCCCAATTATTGACTTTTGCTAGACACTGTACAAATACATGGTAAAGATACAGTCCCTGCTCCAAAGAGATTACACTGGCAATATGGATTAATGACAAGACATGATCGGGGGATGAATATTTCTCGCCAACGCAGGGAAGGGAGGGATCGTGGGAGTATTACATTTATTGGTCTACCTGCTGAAACACACCATGACTATTAATATAGCATCATAGGCGGTACGTGGCATTTTACAGGAGTAGCAAGACAAGTTTATGATCCAATAGTCTTGGACAACTCCTAAACCATGTTAAATGGGCACGTCACCTTCCTTAGCCAGGGAAGGGCTGAGAGAGGTACCAGAATTTCTTTACACACCGTAAGCAGAGAATAAAGTGCTCTGTGGTGGAAGTAAGAGGCGAGACACGAATACAGCAGCTGAAGCACAGAGAAGAAGCTGTTAATGAAAATCAGGCAGGGGCTAACCAACACCAGCCATGCACAATAGATTCACTCTGCGTTTGGAGCCGAGATGGCTGCCTGGAAGGGGGGGGGTGGGCAAAGCCGCACTGCTTAGTGGGAGTGTGATGCATTTTAATTGGGGCCTCTTCGGCGCATGGTTTCAATTTAGTTTTAAAAAACCCCAAGCAAGCCAAGTCATTGTGGCTGTGAGGAGCCGAGGTTTCTGCTCTGGGTTGGGATGATGCAGCATTGCAGTCCCCAGGCAATAGCACTTGTAAACGAGATAGAAACACTACACATCTCAGGGGCTTCTCTAGTGCCAAGAAAGAGTGTTTCTTAGTGAAAAGAATTGCCAGCACGGAGGCAGCCAAGTGGGTTTTCTCCTCTCTCGAGTGCTCAGACTTGCCAGGAACCTTTTGAAAGTGAAACGAGAGCTCTACTCTCAAGAGCTATTCACTCAGCAACTCAACGAGGGCAAAACCCCATCGGAAATAGAAAGGGAGCATCGCAGGGCCAAAACCATCTGCTCTCCCGGCCTGCGCTCTTCACATACAGTGCCCCGGGAGCACCGACCAGCACTGTAGGAGTCAACTGGTTTGTAAGATGAAAGTGTGATGGAAGCTCAGGGTAGCGTGGATGTGAGAGAGCGCAAGGTGCGAACTGACCCCCCAGCTAGCCGGACACAGACCGACTGCACACTCAGGAAGGGCACTGTGCCTGACCACCATTGCCAAGTGCTACCTACCTAGAGAGTTTTAGCAGGACTGTAGCAGGGTGTGGCAGGGCCCCGTTGGCTTCTGCCTCTGCTAGGTTCACAAAGTCACTCGAAGACCCTGGGTTTAGTAACCACTGGTGCATTTTATTCTCAGGCTTGTTCCCACACCATTTCACCACGTACGCGTAACCCTTCACCAGCTGCAGGCAGGAGGGAGGGGAGAGCTATCTCCCAGCTTCATTCCCTGCCTTTTCCCTTTCCTCCTGCTCTCCTCTGGCTTCATTCCCCTCAGGCTTTTATGCAGCCCCAGGGTAATTAGGTAGCAGCTGTCTCCGCTTCCCCAATTAGGGCCAGGTTATCTCCAGCCCACTCTAATTTGTTCACCTACGGAGGAGTGGGCGTGACAGAGGGCTGAATCTGCAACCCTTTGCCCAGCACCCGGTCACAAGGACTCAAACCTTCCCTAGCTCCCATCACTCTTAAATTTTGTCTACACTACCAAAGTGAGCTGGGCGTGCCAGATGCAGCCTCAAGCTTTGGCTAAACACAAGGGGGTCAACGTCCCTCACTGCTAGACAGCTTCTAGGGCACGGTTACGGCACTGCTTGCTGCAATGGGCTTGAGCCCCTCAACACCAGCAAGACAATCACATTCAACCCAGCCCAAGTTGGAGTTTATATTCCCCAGGCATATGCACTCCCAGGAGCTCCTGGGTATTGGGGAAATGAAAAAAGATTCACGACATCAATACAGGTCTGTTTCATCTTATACTGGGGTTACGTTCCGCAGTCACGCAAAGTGAAAATCGAGTATAGTCAAAATTACATTGAGTGTAATGGTGGGCGGAATCACCCACGCTACAGGTACAGTATTAAAGTTGTTGTTTTTCTCTTTTTTGTTTTTGCAGACCGCGCAAACTGAAATTGCACATGTTAAATGCGCGTAAGATGCGACAGATCTGTACTAAAAATTCTGGTCAGTTTCCATTTGAGAGACAGAGAGAGAGAGAGACAGAGAGAGACAGACAGACACACACACAGTTCTCAGCTTGGATCTGGGATGTCTCTGCAAGGAGAGACAAGGAGAGTGAGGTCATATCTTTTATTGGACAAACTTCTGTTGTTGAAAGAGACAAGCTTCCGAGCTCCACAGAGCTCTTCTTCAGGTCTGGGAAAGGTAGCCCTAGCATCACAGTTAATACAAGGTGGAACAGATTGGTTAGGATAAGTAGTTCACACATTGTCAGAGACCATTCAAAGTGCAGTGGCTCTGCAGTCACGGGACTAAAAAAAAAGGGGGGCGGGGGGCAGATAAGTGGGTTATAGATTGTTGTCATAAGCCATAAACCCAGTGTCTTTTTAGGACCATGATTTTTAGTGTCGAGCAAAGCAGGTTTTCTTTGAGGACAAGGACTGAGCGGTCAGACATGGAGTGATCGCTTTCTGGAAAGTGCTCACCCACCGGTGATAATGTTTTTGTCTTTTATCATTTTTTGTTGTTGTGAGAGGTCATTCAAGTGTGTAGTTGATTGTTTGGCTTCACCCACATAAATGTTATTGGGGCATTTAGTCCACTGGATGTGGTCCCCTACATGTGACAGGCATGCGCAGGACCCAGGAATCTCGAAAGGTGTTTTGTGGGCGGGCACACGTTCCATGTCTGACCTCACTGTCCTCGTCCCCAAAGGAAACCTGCACAACATCTTCAAAAGACGAGCCTGGGAGCTTAAGTAACTTTGCTAGGACCTAAAATTGGATAACAGGTAGAAAGTTTTTCCTGTTTGGATAGTTAAGCTCTGGAACGGGCTTACAAGGGAGGCTGCGGAATCCCTGTCATTGGCGGTCTTTAAGAACAGGTTGGACAAACACCTGTCAGCGATGGTTTAGGTCCTGCCTCAGGGCAGGGGGCTGGACTAGCCCTCTCAAAATCCCTTCCAGCCCCACGTTTCTAGGATGAGAGTCTGGATGGCATCTCCTGCACCAGCGGGCCTGAAGAAAGCTCCAATCCGCACTAACTCTGATCACTCCGGGACATTTGGCTCTTACAAAAAGAACTCGACAATGTTTCGGCAGTTGAAGTGCTCCAGCCACTGCTTCTAATGCTGACCAGTATTGTCCTCCTGCCATCTTGAATCTGCCCCCAGTCTGTCTGTTGCATCCATCTGCTGTCTCTTGTCTTAAGCTATGTCTACACTAGCCCTTTTGTCAGTACAACGTATGTCGTTCAGGAGTGTGAAAAAACACCCCACGCCGGCGTGGACAGGGCTATGTCGGGGGATGGTTTAATTATGCTGACGGGAGAGCTCTTCCCAGTCGGCAAAGAGCGGCTACACGAGAGACCTTACAGCAGCGCAGGTGCATTGGGACAGCTGTGCCGCTGTAAGGTCTCTAGTGTAGACACTGCCTTTTTGTCCTGTGTTTGTACAGCACCTAACACAATGGAGCCTGGTCTAGGATTGGGGCTGCTAGACACTACAGTAATGCAAACAAATAAAACTGCTCCCTTCAGCCACTTCATCACCTATCATGTTCTGGCAGAATCAGGTCGAAGGGACAGGCCTCTGTGCCCCCCTACAATCTGGACCCCCACATGCCCTGTCCCATCGACCTTTCAGGATTTATCTGCACTGAACACAACCTCCCCAGCCCAGAGGGACTCAGGAAGCGGGCCAGTTTCTCCTGTGCAATTGACATGATGGAGGCGGCTCCATCTGCCACCCCTCTGACTCTTCCCGGCAGCTCCAATCCCCTGTCCAAGGAGCGCTTTGTCCCAGACAACCCCTAGCTGTGCTCTGAATCCTTCCAGCTCTACAGCAACTCCTCGCTCTGCCTTCCAGCCTGCATCCAGCTCCGCGGTTCAGCAAAGCCGCTTTGGCAGTCTCACGTTACCGCACCCCCCCCATCCAGCACAATCCCCAGGTGCGGTAACCTCCCAGTTGGGCTGCTTTATGGCCGTGCTGACAGGTGGCCCTGTTCCCTTTCCCTGCTTCGTGCTGCTCTTTTGCTCTCAGGACGAAGGAAGGAGCCACCGATTTCCAGCGCAGAAATTCCCCAGCAACGACTGAATCACCCCGAGCCAAACTATCAGCTCTGCCTATTGCTTCCCACCAGACAATCTGCTCAATCACACTGGATGCACTGAACCGGGATATTACACCGACCAAAACAAGTAAGCTTCGCTGTCGGGATCCAAGGGCCCGAGGCATCCGTCGCTGACAAACAGCAAACAGACCCCCGTGTGCATTGGCTCCCCTGACATTACGATTAGCGAGGAGGTCTGCATCAGAGCCTGGGCAGCGCAGAGATGTGCAGCAGGGCGAGAATGGAGCGGGGGACACGGTCCCTCCGCCTCCGGACACAGCCCCTTTGTGACTAGATGCAGAAAGCTCTCCCTGCTCCTCTCTGCCGACCCCCCTCACTCCCGGATCCTACACCAGGCTAGGCAGAGTGATCGAATCTGGCAGCCGGGCCTGAGCCGGTAAGTCAGCACCGCAGGCAGGCAATCAGAAGGGGACGTGCCGTTCCAGGCATTGCAGTCTGAGGAAGAGCTGCACGCAGGGGACTATTTTTTTTTTTTTTTTTTTTATAATGGAGATATACCTATCTCCTAGAACTGGAAGGGACCTTGAAAGGTCATCGAGTCCAGCCCCCTGCCTTCACTAGCAGGACCAAGTACTGATTTTGCCCCAGATCACTAAGTGGCCCCCTCAAGGATTGAACTCACAACCCTGGGTTTAGCAGGCCAATGCTCAAACCACTGAGCTATCCCACCCCCTACATGCTCGATGCCTCAACGGCTCCAGCGTATGACAAGACACGATGTCAAAGGCCATTTCTCTGCAGCCACCCAAATCCAGGTACTTAGCACAGCTCCGCTGGCCAAGAGCCTTCCTCTGCTAGACAGCTCTGTGCTACAGTGGCAGGTACAGGGGCTGCCTAGAGAGCCGTTATACCAGACAGGTCAATTCTACCTCTCCTTTCCGGGGTACATGCAACATAGCCACATGCATGTAGGGCTGGAGCGGGACCACATGCACAGGCAGTGCCTGAATTCGGACATGCTCCTAGAGCGGATGCCCCATACCACTCCCCGGCTGTCACCCCCCGACTCGTTCATTATCTCGCTTCATAACCCGATCTCTGCTTTGTACGGGAGGAATGGAGTACTGGGAAGCATGCATGACAGCATGCACCCCTAGGCTACAGGATCAGAGAAAAAGGCCAGCTGCCGAGCCCCTGAGCAGCCCAGCACGTGAGGGCAAGGAGGGGAAACAATAAGTCTGGTTAATTTCAGTCCTGTTGGAAGGAGGAGGGGAACTTGCAGAACCTGATCTCCCTCTGCGTGGCTACCACCCTCTCCATCAGAGGATCTCCAAGCCCTTTACAAGCATGAGTGAATTTAGTCTCCACCTCTCATCCCCACTCATGAGATAAGGAAATATCCCATTTTACAGAACGACAAAACTGAGGTACAGAAAAGGAAAGGGACTTGCCCAAGGTCACAGAGTGAGTCAGTGGCAGAAGCAGAAGTAAGAGTTGATCCTGACCTCTTGAATCCCAGTCTCAAGTTCCTCTAACACTGTGTGGAGGGGAAAATCTACATTTGCCAAATGCAGAAGGGGGGAGAATTTAAGCTTAGAAAAAGGGCGAACAGAGAAAAGTCATGCCAGTGGAAGTTATTCAGCAGCGTGCTCTGGAGGAGGGGGCAGCTTCATTATTCCCCACTCCTTCCCAGCATGCACCTCTGCACAGGACAATCCCCACCGGGCCTGGCTCAGTCAACCCCGTCCTATCCCAGCATGCACCTCTGCACAGAGCAACCCCCACTGTGCCTGGCTCACTCACCCCCCACTGAAGATCTTCTCCACATACTGCCTCATGAACTCCCGGCGCTCCACCATCACCTCGTCCTTGGCTGACTCCGTGCTCTGGTTGGACGAGAAGGACTCATTGGACGAGGAGCGACGGTAGTTGTTCCAGCTGTGATGGCTGGGCGAATCCCCCATGTCGTTCTCACTGTCGGCCGACTCTGTGGTGTCGCTCTCCTCTCCTACAGCCGCTGGATCCCCCAGGTCCGCCAGTAACTCATTGCCGCTGGAGGGTTGAGGGGGCGAGGGAGGGGACTCAGCGGGGACAGAGGCAGGGGGCTCGGAATCAAAGTCAATGAGGTTCCCCACCGGCACGTCGGTGGCCTCCATGGCTCGTAGAGCGGGCGTGCAGGGGCAGGTACCAGGGCAGGAGGCCGCTTTGGTGTGACTCGATTTCCCCTTTCGCCTGTCAGTGAGATTTCAAGGCCATCTGCAGCTCAGTGTGTCAAAGACGCTCCTAGGATAAGCCGGCTAGAGCTGGCACGTCCCCCCGAGGCTCCAGGCTATCAGACGGCATCTGAAAGGTAAGACACAGTCACCAATGAAAGGACAGCCCGGGAACTGGCATCATGGAGCCACTCGGTGGGGTCACGTCAGCCCCAGCCAGAACAGCGGCGGGCCCAGAGCCTTCCATCCCTCTTTATCCTCCCAGTGACTGACACTTATTCAGCCAATTCCCACTCCTCCTCCACCAACAGTGGTTGCTAGCAGGACAGGGAGACAGTGACTAGCCGGTGCTGGCTTTGCAGCATTTAGTAATGCCATCTAAACAAACAAACCAACCCACCCATCAGGCAGTTGCAGCTTTTCCCCTAATTCGCCCATTTCGCTTGTTAATTTAATTAGCTCAGGCTCTGCTGGCTTGTTGCTGTACACGGCGTTGAATCACAGAAGATTAGGACTGGAAGAGACCTCAGGAGGTCATCTAGTCCAATCCCCTGCTCAAAGCAGGACCAACCCCAACTAAATCATCCCAGCCAAGGCTTTGTCAAGCCGGGCCTTAAAAACCTCTAAGGATGGAGATTCCACCACCTCCCCAGGGAACCCATTCCAGTGCTTCACCACCCTCCTCCTAGTGAAAGTTTTTCCTAATATCCAATCTAAACCTCTCCCACTGCAATTTGAGACCATTACTCCTTGTTCTGTCATCTGCCACCACTGAGAACAGCCGAGCTCCATCCTCTCCTGAACCCCCCTTCAGGTAGTTCAAGGCTGCTTATCAAATCCCCCCTCACTCTTCTCTTCTGCAGACTAAATAACCCCAGTTCCCTCAGCCTCTCCTCGTAAGTCACGTGCCCCAGCTCCCTAATCATTTTTGTTGCCCTCCGCTGGACTCTCTCCAATTTATCCACATCCCTTCTGTAGTGCGGAGGGGGGAGGAGGGGGGGGGAGAACTGGCTGCAATCCTCCAGGTGTGGCCTCACCAGGGCCTCCACCCCCAGACTATTTACTGGGTCGCGACAGGCCATAAACATTTACAAAGGGGTCCTGAGCATAAAAAGGTTGAGATCCACTGCAATAAAACATAGTACCCCTCCCACCTTGTCTCTCTACTAGCCTGGGACCAACAACTACCCTGCATAATAGCAAAGTAGGCAGATGTTACTCTCAATTAGCTGTCTCAGAACTGTATCCCATTGACTCGGCTGAGAGGCAGGAGAGCTCAGCACCATTCAAGACCACACCTTCTTTTGAAGAGCCCAGGAAACAAGTCAAACTTTGATTTGCTAAGGATAACAATGCAGCCGAGCGAAACTGTGCATGGCACAAGTGCCAGAAGGGAGCCAGGGAAGGACACACTGACCTCTGTGGTGGTACACGGGGATCAGGAAGGAATACTGAGTAACTCACGTCCCAGCGGGCAGCACAGATACACAGTGTTGGGAAAAGGAAAACAAGTCCTTGATTGAGACACAGGCTTTTACTGGTGAATTCGGGTCAACAACAGAATCTGTGCCTGTTTCAGATGCACAGGAACAGGGTCTGAATGATCAACCTCACATACAAATTTATCAACGTAAAGTTAATTTTTAGCACTGACTGATATAAGCCGGGTTGCCTTTGATCTTCATGGTGTTTCACAGACATTTAACTAGTCCTCAGCTCTGCAGGTATTCTAATCCCAGTTTTCCAGCCACTGAAACCAAGATACAGAGAGATGGTGTGACATGCCTGAGGCTGGACAGCAAGTCAGTGTCAGAGCTGAATTCAGTAGGTGCTCATTCCCAGTCCTGCGTCTGGCCTGCACACCTGCCATCGATTTCTGTCACAGGGACCCGGGGGGGGGGGGGGGGGAGAGAGACAAGAGGCTTTTAATTACCATCCTAGCTGACTTACTCACCTATCCTCTCTTCTTAATTCTTAGACCCAAGGGGTTACAGCTAATTCTGATAGGAAGGGGGCTTTGGGGGAGACAGTTCAGGCAGTTCTACTCTCTACCAGCAGGCGTCACTGCATGGGGGGGTGGGGGAGGGAGAAGAGGAATAATCCTAAACTACACAAGCGTTACCAGTGAACCAATCGAGACTGAGGTCTTGTCTACACAGGAATGTGGCACTGGCTCAACTTAAATCAGTTTTTAAACCAATTTAGTTAAACTGGTGCAGTCTGGTATGGGCATTCCTGTTTTGGTTCAAGAGTGGCTTATTTCAGTTTAGCTTCACCTGTTCCCAATTGATTTACGCTGAACTGGAAAAAAATCACTTTCAAACCCAAATGAGAGTGCATCTACACAGGGGTTTGAACCGGTTTAACTGAATCAGTGTAAATTCACACCTTAGTTTAAACTGGTGCAACCTTCTTATGTAGACAAGGCCTGAGCCTCCTGGAGTATTTGTTTTGGGATATGGGTGCATGGCACCTCTCTGCATTTCTCCCTGAAACTCCTTGTCAATCCAACTCTTGTGGGTGTCTTTCCACTGACTGCAACAGGCATTGGAGCAGACCCTTAAGGAGCAGTAAGGAGTAACGGCCCCTTAGAAAGATGACAGAAGTGATGCAGAGGCCTCAGCCCTTCCCTGGAGAGGCGGGGAGAAAGGGCCGTGTTATGCTTTCCTAGAGATGGATGAACCACACAGCCAATCTGCCATCACCCCTCGATTGCAGAGGCGCAAGGAATCCTCCATGCAAAATGAGGGAGACGAAGCTTTACTAGGGACTGAGATCTGAAAAGCTCTAAACCTCCCCTCTTCAACGTGTTGGTCTCAGGCTCTCGCTCCCCTCCTAAACAGGTCACGTGTGCACATACGCTCTCTAAAACCCCATAACAGACAGCAGATGCTGAATGGACTAAGCAGAGCTTGTTCCCAGCAATGCACCAAGTGAAGGATTGCCCTGCAGAAAGACCCTCAGCATCATGAAGCAGCAGCTTAATTCCCAAGGAGCTAGTTTGACCCAAAGGGAACGACAGACAGCAGCGAATGCGTTCGGACAAGCAAACCAAATACGAACAGATAAGCTGCAGCAGCGAGAGAGACAGGCCCCGCAACCCAGATCAACAGGAGCAAGTACGCACCCACCCAACGGGACATACAGCATGTGCAACACCCCGCGGACCACGGGCAGAGCTAGAAAAGGCAATCACAGAAATCCCTGCATGCCAGCCCTCAGTCCAGACACACACACACACCCAATGCCTGCAAACCCGGAGATAGTAAAAGCATTTATTTTTCAAAGTACTGTTGTTACTAATCCTGTGCATTATGGGTAGCATCTAAGGACCAACCAAGAATGGGTCCCCGTTGTGCTAGGTGCTGTACAGATACAAAATACAAAACAATCCCAATCCTTGCCTCGAACATTTTACAATTGAAATAGACAAGACAAGAGCAGCTAGGGGACTGGGGTATAACACAAGCAGAGTGGACGTGATGGCAAATGGTATGTTGGTGTCACAATTGTTCTCCTTGGGGTAGGAACTAGTGAACCCAGGAGCACAAATGGAGCACACATCACGCTCTTTCACCGTTTTAACCCTTGCCTTACCACACTGTGCTTTTCCCCACCTCTGTGTACCAGTATTACTTGCTGCATCAATATCTAATTTAGATTAGTAAATCCAGAGTTGGACTGGGCTGACTGAACGAGCCGGTACTTTCCCCAGGGAGAGGAGTTTTGTATGCCAGAATCTCAGCTTTCATTATAATTATTATATATATATATATATATACACACACACACACACACACATATGAGAGATTTTTCCAAAGATAACTAGAGGATTTAGCCACACAACCCGTTAAAATAAATGGTTGTCTGAAAATCTCAACCTAAGTCTCTAGGTAACACGATGCTCTTGGATGGGCCACTGGCAATGAGGATCAAACCCTGGATCTCAGGATCGAAACACAAGAGGCACTACTGCCAGAGCTAAAGAACCAGGCTCGTCAGTTCAAAGGCTGGAGCAGACCTGAACAGCTGGTCCTGAACTGGCCCAGGTATGTCTGCACAGCAGCTGGGAGCGTGCTGCACAGCCCAGGTAGACAGACATGTGCTAGCTCTGCTTGCCCTGAAAATAGTGGTGTGGCCATGGCAGCATGGGCAGCAATCCCACCCAACCCTCTGGGTATGTCCTCGGAAGTCCCAGGTTCAATTCCATGCTCTGCCACAGACTCCCTGCATGACCTTGAGCAAGTCACTTAACGTGCTTGCTTGAGCAGAACTAGTGTGTCTGTCTTCCCGTGCTGTGAAGCACCTTCTCGAGTGAAGTGTATAGGAATCCTAAGGGGACGAAGGGAGCATGCTGCACTACATTAGCGTGGGTTACACGTGGCTGGCAAGAAACATGCAAGAATCAATCGATACACCGATGTCTGCCGGAGCCTGCAGCAAGCCTGAAACGAGGGAGGTATCAGCTCAGAAACCTGATTTCAAATCAAACACGCACAGTCTCCTAAGGACCATTGCTCCAGCCAGCTGGACCACACGGATGGTGTCTCGCCAGGCATCGTGTACTGAAGGTCCCAGATCTAGCTCAAACCCGTGAGAAACCGAATAGTCGCCATTTAAATGTCAACATGTAACTACGGGAGAGACAAGGTGGGTGAGTAACTGGACCAACATCTGCTGCTGAAAGAGCCCAGACCTGAAGAAGAGCTGTGTGGAGCTCGAAAGCTTTCATGGAACCGACTATCCCATATCCTGGGACCAACACAACTACAACAACACTGCAAACAACATGTGACTATTTCACTGCTAAACAAAGCACGGAAGAAAAGAAAAGGAGGATCATAATATGGGGACATGTGATGTCTACTGCAAGCAGCATCTCATGAATGGGTGGAGCTTGGGGGAGTACATCTGCACCGTTCCTCCCCACATCGGGCCCCGTGGGCAGGGATCTACCTTTTTAACTGTCTCTAAAGTTGGGTCTAGCACATATAAATAAAACAGATTACAATAAGCAGTGTTAGCATCTGCGATTAGTTTGCAGCCATTGCACGGGGCCAGGTCTGCCCACCTAGTCACCCGGAGTTACACAGGAAAAACGGCACCATTAAATGTTGTTGCCTCCCGACC